GTAGCAAACCCTTCCACATTTACAAACCTCGAAAGACTCTATTTGTTTATTAGACCAAAGAAGGCACGCATTATTTAAGAACGAGGAGGAACATATCTTAAATTGGGAATTTAATTTCTAATCAGTGAAAAACGTAGAAGAATTGAAGCAGCTGATTATCGACATCTGAACGACAGCCGCATCTAAATACGGGGATGATAATAGGGGGGGTATTCAATCGGGAAAAATGTCCTCAAGGAACTTGCGAAGAATCTGCTCATCAGAGGAGGAAAACCCCTAGTTGTTTGATGAGAGTTTTCTAAATGTCCTCGCCTTAATTAAAGCGTGCGTTACTAAAATGGCTTATACGTTTCTGAATATTTTCGACGGTTGAATTAGTCGTTATGGGGAGCACATCCAACAACGGAGGAAACGAGGGAGTCGAGTCCGTTTGAACTGTAATTTGACCGTGAACATGGAATTTTGTCATTTTTATTCGACCCCTTCCCTGTTATTGCACGAACCCATCTTAAGGACGGAGCCGAAGTGGGCTGGATGGAGTCGTGACCAAGTCCTACGAGTCGTTCGTCCTTTAATCTTATCATTACCGATTAATAATACCGAAAGGTCTGCACTGTAGTTAGTGTGAGTGCTTCTCTTGCGTAAATCACACTTTGACGATAATCGTTCAAGCAAATCACCTTCTGTTAGCTGCTTTCAGAAAACTGGGATGGTCCGCGCCAACTGTTGAAATTTAAACGTTAGCCTCGTCCACCTCTTTCTTCACGGGGAACGTACTCATACTATCTATAGTACAAAAGCATACTGTATAACTAATGAGTTGGGCTAAAATGAAAGACGGAGGAATTATTTAACTGGGTCAATGCCCCGTCATTTCATTTTGACCTCGCCCTTATGACGCGTCCGTGTGTTGGTAAGGCGCCAACACAAGTGAGCCCGTAGCGTCCAGTGATCTGACTGAAACAAGGCATGTAAATGGAACCAATCAGGTAACGGAAGAGCCTAGAGAACACGACGTCCGCGATAACGGAGTAATGCTCACAGCAGTAACAAATGCAACGGGAAATTCGGCTGGTGCTAAACTGAGGTGCTTGTACACGAATGCCCAAAGCCTCCTATCGAAACTAGACGAACTAAAACTTTGCCTTGTTGAGCTGTCTCCAGATGTTTTAGCAGTAACTGAGACCTGGCTGTCCGGGAATATTAGCGATAACGAAGTAGCCTTGCCTGGATACCAAATTTATCGGAGGGACAGGGAACATCGTCAGGGTGGTGGTATCGTTGTGTATGTGAATGACGGTCTGGCAGTGTCGGATAACACCACCAAGTTTGTGTGCAGTACCGAAGCTATCTGGTTGACCATCAAGGCTACCGGTTCCCCGTGTCTCGATGTCCTCACTGTCTACCGACCACCTCGGACAGACCGAATCGCCGACACTCAACTATTGGAGCAGTTGGAGAAATTTTCCAGTCGACCTAACATCATGATCATGGGCGACTTCAACGCACCAGGAACAAACTGGAATACCCTCCAAGCGTCAGGTCCAAAATCGGCATTCGATTACCGCCTGTTGAGCAAGACATTAAATGCGTGCCTCACACAACATGTAATGTTCCCAACGAGAACACGTGAAGGACAAAGGGCAAACTGCCTGGATCTGGTCTTTACGAAAACACCAGACAGCATAGACGAGATCGCCTCCATGCCGCCCCTTGGCCGAAGTGACCACGTAGTGCTTATGTGGGATTATTCGTTATTCTCCATTTCACACACTCCAGACCACAAAAGGCGTAATGTTTGGCGGGGCGATTTCAATCAGATGAGGGCAGACTTATCCGGTCTTGACTGGGGCTCTTTGTTTACGGGAAGTGCCAACGATGACTGGGAGCTGTTCAAGAATGTCCTTCTGCAGCTCATCAACAACCACTGCCCACTGACTAGTGTAAGACTGAACAAACGCCCTGGGTGGCTAAATAGCAACCTCAAAAAAGAAATCAACAGGAAGCACAAATTGTGGAGAAAATACTGCGTCACTAGACAAGCTGAATGCTTCAACACCTACAAGACACAGAGGAACAAACTGAGGAAGCTGATAATGCAGACGCGGAGGGAATTCGAGAAGAACTTGCTACAAAAAGCAACGCAGAACCTAAAATTGCTCTACAGCTACCTCCGACGAACTACAAGGAACAGGCATCAAATCCCCTTGATAAAGACTACTGATGGCGTTGAGATCGCTGATAGTAGGGATAAAGCTGCGTATTTTTCACGGTTTTTCCAATCAGTCTATACAAACGAGGCAAGGTTCCTTCCTCCCTCCACAGAAGAACTGCCGACTCCAAGCGTCAGTGATATACTCTTCTCAGAAGGCCTTCTCCGAAGAGAATTAGAGGCATTGAACGAATCGAAGTCGCCAGTACCAGACGAGATTCCATCCAAGCTTCTGAAGGAACTTGCCAGTGAGCTCTCTGTGCCTTTGTCGATGCTCTTTCAAACGTCATTTGACACTGGAACACTTCCTGTCGATTGGAAGCTGGCGCATTGGAAGCTGCCGCTACACAAAGGAGGTAACAGGGCAGCGACGACAAATTACCGGCCCATAAGCTTGACATGCATTCTCTGCAAAGTTATGGAAAGGATCATAAAGTGTGAACTAATGCAATTCCTGGAAATTCACGGCCTGCTATCGAAATGCCAACATGGGTTCCGAAAAGGAAGATCCTGCACGACAAACCTGCTGCAATCTCTCCAGAGCTGGACCGAAGCTCTCGACGACAGGCACGCGGTCCACATAGCCTTCATCGACTTCCAGAAGGCTTTCGACACTGTGCCACACCAAAGGCTCTTACATAAACTTGAAAAAATAGGGATCAGTGGCAACTTCCATAAATGGATCGAAAACTTCCTTGTGGGTCGACACCAGGTTGTGTGCGTCGGTCGGGGAAAATCAGATCCTGCTATGGTCGAGAGTGGTGTCCCCCAGGCTTCAGTACTGGGACCCATTTTGTTCCTTATCTACGTGGACGATGCCGCAAGAGATTTGGACTGTGAAGTAGCAATGTTTGCGGACGACATGAAGATATGGAGTGTAATTCGGGGTCCTGCCGATGAAGACAGATTGCAGATGAACCTGAATCGGTTGGAGGAGTGGTCAAACCGTTGGCTCCTGCGGTTCAACGTTGCCAAATGTAGCATACTTCGCCTAGGCAACACAGCCAGATCCGCCAGCACAAGAGGCTACTTTCTGGGCGGTGCAGCCCTACAAGAGGTCGAAGCCCAAAAGGACCTCGGTGTGCTTACGACGAGTTCCCTAAAACCATCCGCCCACTGTTCGAGGGTGGCAAAATGCGCAATGTCCGTACTGTACGCCATCAAGCGTGCGTTTATGGACTTTGACGAAGAAGCCTTCTCTAAGACATTCGGAGCATTCGTCCGGCCGCATTTAGAGTACGGCATACAAGCTTGGAGGCCGTGGGGTGTTGTGGATCAAAACTGCCTTGAAAGAGTCCAGAGGAGAGCCACGAAGATGGTCAGGGGTCAAAGCTCCTTTCCTTATGCGACCCGCCTAGTAAATCTGAACCTCTTTCCTTTGAGTAACAGGCAACTTCGTGGAGATCTCTTGCAAGCCTTCCGCATTGTATAGGGGTTGGACTGCAGTCTGGCCTTCGAGGACTTTTTTGAATTTGCTACCACGACCAACCTCCGAGGTCACCCGTTAAAACTGCGCACTCAGCAGGCACGGCTGGATGTGCGGAAGTTCTCCTTCTCGGTTCGGGTGGTCAAACTGTGGAATGAGCTTCCCGCAGATGTTGTGATGTCACCATCTATACAAAGTTTTAAGAAGAATCTGGACATATTTATGTTCCGAAATGACCAAGAGCGATGAGAAGTCGAGCTCACCCCCTGTAACTCCTTCTCATTTTGTCCCACCATTATGGGCGTGTTCGAACTATTTCAGCCCAGAACACTATCTGTACACCACACATTTTTTACGTTGCAAATAGGGTACTCAAAGGCTTACGCCTATTTCCCTCAATAAACTGAACTGAAAAGGGTCAGATAAAAATTGTCAAATTCCTCCTTTTCTAAACACAATGAACTTTAAGACGATATATTTGTCTCTTTTACTTGGTCGCTGGATGCACGCGACGAACAACACCTTGAACCGGGTCATGATTATCTTCAATTTGGTTTCGACCCGCTTTTAGGACAGGTTAATATGCCTGCAGCACATCTGCAAAAACTGGTATGGAAATCAGAACCTGCGATGCCGCAGCACGAAACTCGCAATAATATGCATTTTTGCATATTCAAACACAGGTACGGAAAAGTCAGCTTGTACGTTTAAAACTACGAACGGCAATAAGATACGTATATAAATCTATGAGTCTACGCGACCAATTTCTCCGTTCTCTCCTAAGTCTGTTCCGCAACGAGGCTTTAGACTAAGCTGATATAAATTCTTCCTTAATAATGACCACAGATCATTCGAGCAATTAAGTTAGGACTGACCTCATGATAGCTTCATCCTCTGCCTACCGCTGACACAGCGCTAATTTGAGGCTAAAACAAGAGCAACTCTAGTTTCATGTTGTGGTCAAATTACCAAGTTGTTAAACAATTGCAGATTTGGAATACCTGCCAAAAGCGCCCGAAGAACGCTGCGGGACCCATTGACGAGCCGGACCCCACGCAACTCTGTTATATGGCTAAGACACTCAGACATATGTCTGGATTTTTTGCCACTGTTTCTGCTGTATGATAAATCGTGCAACAAGAACACCTCCGTCCTCTTCCTTGAATGGGTTGAAAAAGACAAACATTAATAACGGAATCGTGGGGGACAATTAAAGTATAAAATACTATAGGGCTCAAACGATTTGCCTTTACGGACAATGAGCTTAATTCTTTCTTTCAATTTTCTGTTTTCGAATAATGTGTTATAATGAGCTTAATTAAGGGAATCCGGAAATCAGCCTGCGAGTTTAATGTCCGGCCTATGCAACTATATTCGGTTCCAAGGTAAACAGTGACTGATTCTTTATTATTTTCGGAAATTGCTATGTAATTGTATTAAATTCGATCCTTTTTTCTGTTTTATCCTTCTAACTTGTCGTGCAAGGCTTTAACTTCTGCTGTTTTTTGCTTATTAATTTATTGGCGTAAACCAACTAGTCTACCCTCACCTCTCCTATCTAGGGTGGATGTGCCACCAAACTCTTGTGTTACTGAGGACAGTTTCCTTTCTGATTCTGAAAGTTATGGTTCTGGAGCTGGCAGTCTTGGAGACTGTCATACAGTCTTTCGCCATTTTTCGTATGCCACATATTTGCCCACATTTGAACTGCTAGTTATTATTCGGCTATTCCGGACCATGTTAACTGGTACTTTACAGATGCAAACAATCGCATCCCATTTTCCCTATTCGGCTCCTGGGCTTCCTTCAAACTATGCATACCAGGCTTGACTGCACAGTGTCATCTTAGCTCCCCAGACCACCTTAGAGGCCTTTGTAGTACGTGCGTTCCTTATTATCGTTACTATTCCTCAAAATACAGCACCAGGCTTCTACCGTACTGTAATCAGCCGATTCTAAGTCGTTACTCATCAGCGGTCCAGGTGTAGACATAAAACTCTCAGCGTCGTTGTTGCAGAGTCTGTTACGACTCTCGGGAAACGGTCTGCGTTCACCTTTCCTACACTACATTCTTTTTAGCCTATGGGTAATAGGGCTGTCAATCCCATGGCAGATGTCGGTTCGTGGTGCCTTAGGACTTCCGTATTTAGATTTAATGCGGAGTTTGCTTTGCTGGTTTGTCAAATCGCTACTTGGGCTTTTCTCATTTCCTCTCACTGGTCTTACTTGCGATGGTATCATTTAGCAACTTACGCTGTAGTCCTACTTTTCGTCCTCTACGATTACCCCTCTGATCATTAGTGCCCATTTATAGTCCCTGCTTGACTTGAGCCCGTCTTTGCATGCTGTCGATGTGTACACCGACAGTGGACAGGCGTACAGCTTGATCTAGTACGACAGTTTCTTTTGGCAGACGCGTCTGATTTTTATGTTCCTAAAATATTAGCATTTTAACGGCAAATCTTTCCAGTTTGCGGCTGGTGGCCAAAGACTCAGAACACTTCATGTTCTGCCTAAGTCTCATCTAGTATTAACATGTCTTTGGATCAAGTCGAACAACGCACCTGCGCTGTTACACACGTCGACAAGTCTGCACCATTTCATATACCACTCCTAAGCGTTTTGAGGGCGATGCCATTTTGGGCCTATTTAACCCGTATTTGTTGACATAGTTGCTTATGACGAATGTACAGATTCCTCCGTCCTGTTGTGGTCAAGCTTAAAAACTCCCAGGTATCTGTCAGACCGGGAGACCTCTTATTGCATATCGAATATGCAAAATTATCACCCCACCTACAAAATTGCTGTAGTGAGTCAGGTCTCAAGATCGTAAAAGCTTTTACTCCCCAGTAGCGCACTTTTTTCTCAAAGTAGGTTAACCGATCAATGGCTCAAAATGTCCACTGCGTTATTCTTCATCTTGCAGGATTGAATCAAGTACAATGCTGCGTCCGAAAGTAGCGGATGCTTTGTCTTACCTTGATCTCGTCAAAGCTCGGTTTTCAAATCAGCACGCCATCTACACCGAGTTTTTGGATGTTATGCGCGAATTCAAAGCCCAAACGTAAGCTGTCGTAGTTTCCAACATTTTTAGAATTGGTACCGATGTTGTCATAAGACGTGTCCGTGAACTCTTCGATGGTCACCCTGACCTCATAGATGGATTTAATACGTTCATACCGCAGGGATATCGCATGGAATGTTCTGCCCCATCAAGACAACTGCAGACACAAGCACCAGCTGTATCAACAATCGCTCCTATTTCCTATTCCACTGAAGTGATTTCACCCTCTAAGCTACCGTCCTTTTCGGCATTTCGTCATTCCGATGTTCCTATAGAGGCAGCGGCGTCACCTCCTATACAGTTAGCCTTCGTAACCAGCGGAGCTGACTCATCCTCTCGCACAAATTACTATACTACTTCTTGTCCTTTGAATGCCAACTCACCTAGCCAACCGCCCCTTCTGCGTTCGCATTTAACCACGACCACGACAGATTCTCACGCCCTTCACCCAATGAATGTTGGTTCAGCGCCTCCAACTCAGCCCATTAATACCGTCGCCATATTGGAAAATCCGGATGCTTTTCGTGGATCCACTCCTGGTCATGTGGTTTTCCCCCAAGCCTACATATCGAATGTGCAGCAACAGCAGCAGCAGCAGCACCAGGCCCAGTCATTTAATCACGCTATAATATACGTCAACAAAGTCAAGGTTCGACTAATTGTAGTTTACGAATTCAGACTTGTAGAACCGTTTTCAAGCTAAACCGGACGTTTACAAAAGCTTTTTGGAAATACTCCAGTGGTACCAGAGAGAGCAAGGTCACACTGACTCTGTGCGTCGCAAGAAGGCAGAACAACAAGTATATCAAGATGTGGCAAAGCTCCTTCATGGGCACGAAGATCTGCTACAAGAATTCAGTCGTTTTCTTCCCGAGTCCACGGGTGTCGCATCTGACATTGTAAGTCGTTGATACGCTCTTACACTTTCCCTTTTAGTCGGACGTTAGTACCAAGGGAATGCCATATGGATCCGTCAGCGAATTGTCTACAGCAGTACATCTAGGTTCATCCCACAGCCGCTTTGCCCCCGGCAGTTTGCCCCCGCCCCCCGACTCTCACTGGCACCGCGTTCCCGATTCATCACCCAATCTGAGCTCCCCTGGTTTGGGTCCCCAGTCGTCGGGTGCAAGTGACTCAAAAAAGATAAAAAGAGCGTCACAGTCCTCTGCACCGCATGCAGGCGTTTCGACTGAATCAAATATTCCGATCAAAAAGTCTCGCCAGTCGGTTCGCGATGTAAGCATAGCAGACACGGCTTCGCTGCTTAACGGTGGTGACGCCACCCTCCTCCAGAAGGTAACAACTTAATATATATATGTTCTAACCTACAGATACGTGATGCTTTGGAAGTTGACGTTGGTGGTGGAAGTCGGTCCTATCAGTCGCTTCTCCAAAACATTAGTTTATTTAACAGGAAGCTGATTACAGAAAACCAACTAATTGACACAGCCAAGGTATTACTCCAAAGATTCCCAGAATTATGGCGCCAATTTCGAGATCTTTTCAGTGTGAGTATCTTCTTTTTTATGCCTACGGTATTTGTACTCGCAGTCCCCCAGTCGAGGAAACATCTGATTCTTTGTTGTTTCAGGCCGTCGCTCCAGAAGTTGGCAGTCGGGCACACAGCATAAGTTCACCGAGCGACCAAGTCGGCTACCGCGTGTGCACACCAGATCGTGAGGGTGAAAATGAGAAGCGGGCAGGTGGAATGTCCATAAGCTTTCAACCTTCAGCACAGTCAAATTCATTATCGAGTCCCCCTTTATCCGATTCAAATATCACTCATCCCCTGGCTGGACCTGACAACGCCGCAATGATTGCGCTTGTTAGTGAAGTGTCGCAACGTCGCCTGGACTTAGATTTCAATAAATTGCGCACATGTGGTGCTAGCTATCGCGCTCTGCCGGCGGATTTCCCCCAACCCAAATGTTCGGGCCGTGCGAAAAGTGCTATAGCGCGAACCGTAAGTCTTGTCTTGATCCCACCGATTTGCTCATTTCCTTTAGGTTTTAAATGATTCATACATAAGCTTTTCATCGCTGACCTCGGAGGACTCGCAGTTTGTTTCCTCTAAAAAGAATCAGTACGAAGAGAACATGTATCATACCGAAGACGAAAGATACGAGGCTGACATGATTATGGAAGTCAATCGTGCAGCCCTTCAGAATTTGATTGTTGTAAAGCGCCGAATTGATCGGATGAGTCGAGACGAACAACAGAACTTCCACCTTGACGACCTTTTGGGTGGAACCTCTGCCATTCTGATGAAAAAAGCCATCCATAGGTACGCGAACTTTAATTTACACGCCGTCTGTTTCCAACACACCCTTCTCATTCTCTCATACGCACTTTGTTTACTCCTACGTTTTTGCCGTTTTTGTCACATCTGTGACAGCGATATTGACAACAACCCGTGGACACTGCCCCACCTATCAGACTGCTTATTCCCCGCCTCATGAAGGCAGTTATTCGGGATCCTGAATCAGCACGTCCTATGTACCTGTTAAAACCCTGCTTATCAGGTCTTTAAACCCATTACTCACGCTCACGATAGGTTTTGGATGCTCTCTTCTGCTTATTTCTGTAGAAAATGGCTATAGGTAGACATTGTTGCAATCCTTTCAAGGAAAGTGGACGCGCGTGTCCATCTGAATGTTTTAGATTTTTTTCAGACATACGGCACCCTTTCGAATTAAGCTGCACAACTTTCTCACATGTTTACAAGAAAATTTGTAGGTTATTCTGTGAACTGTCTCTAGCCCTAATACACATCTCCACATGGACGTTGGCCGACACTTTTACTGGCGAATCAGTGCTAATTTCCCGCCATAAGTGACATACACCAGCTTGAGTCTTTTGGTCCGGTTCTCCTTATCGTAACTGACAAATTTGCCACTTATCCCCTGCTGACATCGTTCGCAGAACAGTAGCACCATCTACCGGGTTAGACTGTAGTCAGTAAATCGTATAGGTTTTTTGTTGCATCTTGCAGTACCTCTCGTACTTAGCTGATATTTCGTTTGTGGTCTCACTCAGTCGGCCCCTACTAGAACTCTTAATTTTTCGTTTTCCTTTGCAGAGTTTACGGCGACAAAGCAGGCGATGTAATCTACGGCCTAAAAACATGTCCGGCAACCGTAGTCCCGATTGTTATTCAACGTATGCGCCAAAAGGACAATGAGTGGCGCGAAGCCGTGCGTTCATTTCACCGCATTTGGTCCGACCAGGATGCCAAGAATTATCTGCGCTCCTTGGACCACCAGGGTGCCACTTTTAAACAGCGTGACAATCCCTTCCTTCGAACAAAAACAGTCATTAATCAAATCGAAGCTATCGCCAGGGGCGAAAAGGTGAGTTATCATGCCTAACCAATTAGCGTGACCTGAAGACGCTCATTGCTCGCGTTGGCCACTTGATCGGATTTTTGGCCAGAAGATCTCGTCTGTCTAGAATGCTAGTTGAAACTGCAGTCTTGTCCCAGTAAGGCGAAGTGGTTGTCCTGAAAAAAACGATGTAAATTTGGCTTACGCATACAAAATACGTTTGTTCTTCGACATTTGTCGGCCCAACGAATCGAAGTCTGCTTTATTCACGAATGTTGTGTGCCCTTTTAGATGGCACGCATCTGTTGCTCTTTCGACAATCGATTTTAACGCGTTTTTATGCTTTCCAGTTGCATTAGTCTTGCCACCCTGTTACACCCATACACCCTTCTCGTCGTTTGACGCAGCTTTTCATAATTTGCGCTGCTCGTTACTTGAGTGGTATGCTTTAATTGCTCTGTATCCTGCGGATGAGCATTCAACGCCTGATATATTTAATTCCCTATAAGGAGACTTACGGACTTGACGGTTTTTAGTTGGAGGAAGGGGGAGCATGTTATCGTCTGAGTGGAAACAAAAAAGTCATATTGCCATTAAGCATAAATACGTACCTTCGACTCTTCAGTCTCAGTATTCACGAACCTTTCATTGTTGGTTTGAAGACCAGTCTAGCATCGTATCTTACGAGTTACACTGAGTCTGCATCGTCCCCCTTCGTGACCGCCTTGTCTTGAAATTATTCTTCGCAGTTCCCTTAAACGGTCGGTCAGCCTGATGAATAGGAACTTCGGTCGGCGTTACTATTTCAGGCTCTAGACTGATCAAGTTTCCCCTTTCCCTTCCGTTCGGTTGTTTTGTCTCCTGCCTTGCACCATCAATGCATTTGCATTTTTGCTAGTGTAACCTTAATATCGCCGATGGGAATAGAGGTCTTCTATGATTTGACCAAGTTTCCTTCAGATATATTGATAAATCACTAGGCGCATCAACTCCGACTCGCCTCTACTTCTCTTCTGATACGTTTCTAACGGGCATGGTACTTCACGAATGAGCCAGGTTAATCATCCACCACGAATAGTGATTGTTTTTTCCTCTCATCCGACTAAACACCTTTTCCCTTTTAAACAGTCTCAGTCATCTGAATCGGACTCGCCAGACCCAATCGGATGCTTACTGTCAAAATGTCTGACTTCCTGTTCCTCTGCGTACGACTCACTCCACCCAGGATCCTTGGGGTCTGCTTTGAGTCACGTAGTAGAGGGAATAGGCGACGATGGCGGAATGCACCTAACTCTTGAGTACCCCCCGCCAAATGTTTGTGCCGCGTTGTTGGAAGATGTTGCTTCTTTGATAATCCACCACGTCAAAAGGCAGTCAAACACAAGCAAAGAAGATAAACGAGCCATGAAATTTCTGGTAAGTGACCTACCCGCACGCCCTCTCTCAGATGTACCTTTGTCCCGCTTCAATGAGTGGTTTACTTTTTTTTCCTTTTTAGGTACGCACAGTTTTACAGGATCTTTTTATGCAGGAGCGTTTCCCCATGTCAGATGATGAGGACGATGAAGTTGACCGAAGCGAGGATAGTGATGCAGGTGACTACGAAGCGGATAAGGAGGGACCCTCTACTTTGGAGGAGAATGCCTCCAACAACGGTCGTCGCAGCGCAAGGCGGACAAGACGCGCAGCTCGAACTGTGGCACAAACCAATGGGAAGTCGAGTGCAAAGGCCTCACCACCAAACAGTCTTCTTCCTCAGTCGGCGGACAATGAGGCTAATATTCATTCGTCGCAGGATTCCACGAAGCCCAGTCCTGAGGTGATTTTCCAGGCTTTTTGATATCTAATGCCAACTTCAAGGTCACCTTAACAGGCCCATTTGCTTCTGTTTATCGAAGGCAGTGATAGGTATTATGATTCTCTATCGTCAAGTAATGCAAACTGTCCCAGCTATTTGACACATTAGCAAACAACTACCTATCTCCTGCACATTGGAGATTTTCAGTGCAACCCAAACATAATATCTTACCTGGAAACAGGTCCTCCTTTCGAGATACAAAAGGTGAGTACCAATTGTTTGCACAGCCAGAAGGCGTGCTCCTGGTAGAGGTAGGACGGGCACCCAACGTAAGTTCGAGTGGTCGGAAGTATTTCAGTTAGTCACCCTTGTCTTCCGACCCAAAGTAATGCCCCTCAACCCGCTGATTGGGCTCCTGCCTGCATCTTTGAGCGTAAGTGTGTGTGCGTGACTGGGGAGTGGATTCTGTTGAAGTTCAGTATTTGAGTGGTATTTGCTTTTCAACGGAAGAATACTCTTGCTTTCGCAATTGAGTTTACTTCCGACTTGTACCTGGAAATCGTCATTCCGCGTGTGTCAGTAAGACTTGCTCATTTCATTTGGGTTGCTGTCGTGGATAAGCTGGTCCGGTTTACTGCAACTTACCATATTCGAAGACGCCTGGGGTCTTGCAAGCCTCACCGCGTTAAGCCCTCCGAGCTAGGCAAAGTGAGAATACTTTGGTCAAAATTTAAAATTATCCTTGATATCAGTTGTGTAGAGTACTTCACCCTGCTCTACTAGCCGCTTTTATCGCCTTTAGATTTTTAAAGGACATTTGCATTTGTACACTACGTGGAGCGTCCGCGATCCTGCATAGTTGAACGTAGTTCATCGCTGTTGCAAAAGACGGTGTTTATAGCGATTCCTGCCGAAGTCAAACACTATTTCGTTATTTCCTTGACTACAACCAAACTCCATACTCAGGACTTCACGAAGTAGTCGCAATATTAGATCCGGCAAGAAGTTTGCATCAGTCCTTCTCGAACCGTAAAATAGGCAGTTCAGTTTTCTTGCCCGAATGTGCACTGTATCCTATCCAAAAAGATGAGCGTTCTGGTGTATTTAATAACCTGTCGAACAATTAAATGTTCACTTATGACCAGAAACGATCATGATTGCAATAGAAGGGAAATATGAAACGTGCAGCCGTCGGCGTCGCCCCAGCCAGCTCAAGGGGTAAAGCACCCGACGGAAATTTGGGGGTCGTCGTTTTAAACCCTTCCCGGGGTACCTGTTTTTTTTGGTTGAGTCTCATATGTACGCAGCCTGTCTCAATAAAGTGTTTCTGTTTCTGGTGTATTGCTTGTTTAACAGCCATATGGGACTTGACTGAGGCAAATGACCAACTTGAAATTACATAGAAGCAATTTTAGCACAATTTAAATTTCCCCGTTTTAGGTTAAGGTCACTCCTGAGGCTAATCACGCCAGGGCGTCGACAGATACCCTCTTTCTGGGTAGAGCCCAGAATACACGCCCGGAAGTAGATTTCAACTCGAGAATGCCCGTAGAGGAGTACTACAGTCTCTTCTATGGCAATAATCATTGGTACGCGTTTCTGCGGCTTCACCACCTCCTCCTTACTCGACTTTCACAACTGCGATCCCGGGCCATTATCCTCCAGGAGGAGCACACCAAGGAAGGTGGCAAATCGAATCCTCAAGCAGCCGAGGTGTTGCGTCTTCGAAAAGCAGGTAAAAAGACCGCCTCCTGTATAACCTATGTTGCATTTTCTTGCAGGTTTACAATGCCTCCTCTCCGTTCCGTCTTGTGGACAGCTGCTAGATGTCCACTTTTTTTCCATTTAACATGTCGTTTGTTCCTGATACTATCCTCATTTTCAGCACCGAACAGCCATTTCCGTTTATCTGAAAACTCTCCTTCCTATCTTAGGTTGCTCTGAGCCCAGGGAACACTACCATAGAGCTCTTAACCTCGTGAAGGACTTACTTGATGGCTGTGAGGACATTCAGACCTACGAGGACCGTCTGCGTGACATGTTTGGGATCTATGCCTACCCATGGTTCACAATGGACCGATTGGTCACTAATTTGGTCCGCCAGTTGCATTTACTCGCTAGTGGAGATGAGCTCAGCCACCGACTTACCTCCTTGTTTCGTAGCTACTTCAAATCCTCCGCTGGTCGCTCTGCCTGTGGTAGCAACAAATCCAGACTCGAACCGGAGCCTTGTGATTTGATGACGAGAAGTCCCATACCAGTGTAAGTTTGCTGGCAGTCGGTTGACTTATGCTAATTTGGGTTTTAAATATATGGAACACTACATTGGTCAGCTTTAAAACTGTCCAATTCGTAAGTTTAAAAACCATAGTTCACTTCCTTTTAGTGCCAACGCTATCTGCGGCCCTCTGAAAACCCGCTTCATGCGCCTAAAAGAAGAAGCCAGATTTAGGCACAATGCCCTAGCTGCCTGCTTGGGTTTCGCCATTTCTTCAAGCGGCACGGACACCAACGGATCTCACTTTAACAACGAAGGTATCCTGGATCGACCAACTTCTGTGCCAAACTGCTATGCGATGGTGATGCTTCGGAACGCCTCCAAGTTCTTGATTCGCCTGTTGGATCCGTCTGTTGTACTGAATTGCACCAATGACACACATGCCCCGCGATGCTACTCCCCCGTTCACGTGCATCCGAACCCCGCGCCCGAAGAGGGGGCTCGAGCTACGCGTGCCCTTCAACGTGCCATTAATGATTCATCGGCGGAGGCCAGACACTGGTACGACTACCTAGCCAGGTACCTCCTGCTTCCTGGCTGCTGGACCGCGGGCCCTTTGTCGCCGTCCGTGTTAGCACGTATTCGCCCTGTATTCCTCTACAGAAACGTAAAGCGTTGTGTAAACCGCCTTACACACCAGGCAGTTCTTCGCCGTCAGCAGGAACTTATTACCACCGGTGATCCACAGCCCGAAGAGGTAAGACCGCTGTAATGCAAACGCCTTTTAATCGAATTTGGACAAGTCCTGTCAAAATTTCGACATTTAGAAGGCATCCCACCCTACCATAGATGACAAAACGTCAGGCAAGGGCGTTGAAGACATGTGCTAGGACTATGTACTTTAGTTTTTGGGGACATTTTCATGAGGACGCCGCATTTCGTCTCGGCTTGGTGTCTAATTTGGCGCATCAACGCTGCACTTGTGATGTGCCCCTTGGTGCTAACCTCGGACTTCACACCAGGATGAATACGCCCAGCGGCCACTCAGACTCAGAGCAGTTTCATTCGTAAAATCATGCATCCCTCGTCCTTTTAAAGGCAGTTCAATTGTTTGCTAGTGATTCCTGGGTTAAAAAAGTTCAGTTGTTGATACTGCTCAACTTTGGCCAGCCTCAGTTTGACCTAGCTTGTTCCAAAAAGTTTTCATTACTATAGACCCTCAGATGCCTTGATCAGTACATACTGTTAAGGCCTTTCCAGCCCGGAAGTGGTAACCCTTCTGCATTCCTGTTTAGAGAGTAAGTAACCTACGTCCCCTGGTGTGATCTTGCGCCTGAAGAGTACGCTGTTATTCGGAAGCACACCAAACCTATACCTTCATTTCGCCTAATTTACAGGTACTCTTACGGCGCCTTTCCGAGACTAGCGAAACCCCACTGCAAATTGACGAGCAACACGAGACTGCTGCTTCTAGTCCACACGAATCTACCACTCCCAATGAACTGCCTGGAGTTGGGTTAAAAGGGAACTTGGAGAAGGATATTTGGGAGCTCATGGTTGGCGTCTTCCGCAATAATTTAACACACACGGAGGTGAGTTTTATAGTTGTATCTAAAACTTCACAATTAAGCTCTTCCGTGACACGTTTTCGAGTGACTGCATGCAATCAAATACGAATATGTCCGTCAAGTCAGCATCAAAGACCTACAAGATTAACTGGTCCGTCGGATCCTATGGCATATTTGTACGGCGAAAGAGCAAGGTAAGCGGTCCCATGTTTCAAAACAATCTTCCTATTTAGAATTCAACTTGCTCGAGTCGCCCTTCAAAGAAGTTCCACGATTTTCAAGCGCGTTGGCTGCGAGAGCATTTTGATCCCCAACAGATGGCTCAAATATCCAAGCAATTTAGCCGACCAGGCAGCGATACCTCTTCGGCGCATGAAGTTCCCAAACCCGAGGCCGAAGTAGCGTCCTGTGCGGAGGTGGAAACCGCGGCCCCATTGTCTAGTACTTTATCCAAGGATGAGCCAATGACCGAGGACTCTGACTGTGAACTGGTGATTACGGACATGAAACAAGAACAGTCTGCCCACAAAAGCGCGCCTTTGGTCCCCGTACCAACAGAACAGCCAAAATCCATTAGCGACTCCCCACGTTCCTCACCGGAGTCTCCGGTTGGTGTCAAAAGCGAACATGAAAATGTGAGCTAGCCCTTCCCGCCAAGCTGTGTACAAAGACGATGCCCACACACCCTTCTGTACATTAAACTCCCTCACGCCGAGTTATTTTTTTCTTATTGACCATATGCGCTTTAATATACGTACATCGTTTTATGACCTGTACACAAGATCCCTGGTTTTGTTTCGTGGTGGCTCTCCTGTACAGACTTATAAATCACCTACATCTCCACCCTCTGCAACTTAGAATTGTCGGATCGCATCTTCCATCTGACAGTGATCCTCTCCCATATCCGCTAATTTGTGTTGAGGACAAAGCTGCACTTATAGTAAAGATACATACTCTGACTTTTGGCCGTTGCCTTTTCCCTGGCCTCAAGAGCCTTTTCTCGTTGTCAGATTCAGTGCACATCGTAGAGGAACGCCAGTTTGGTTGAGATTTTGTACTGCTGCCCGTAATAACACTGACGTCCAGTGAGGAACTAGCGACCGTCCTTTGTGAACTCACTATTGGTAGCTGAGTACTAGAGGGTGATCAATTGGGGAAAACAGTTGCACGTCTAGACGGTCTGAATTATCTCCCGAACTGCTGCCTCCATAAGTTCGGCAAATTAACGGTAGTTGGTGTGATGGCTTGCCGAAGTCACAGTCGTAACGGAATCGGCCTAAAACGTCAGCTGTATATGAGAACTACCAACTTCTCAGTTGTTTTGGGTGGTCTTAGTGCGACAAAGTCGACCAGGGTCAATCGCCGGTACGAAAACACCAAAAATCTGATGCTCAACTGGCCACTGGCTGTCCCATCTAACAGGAATAGCAATAACAGTAGGACCTCAAAAACTAGCTGCGCCGTCGGAGGCCGGACGGAGGCTTGTAAGGTTGCCAGCTGAAGGGGTACCTCGGGACTGGGGGGAAGACAGCAAATAGTGACTCAACAGGGTCTTAACGGTGGTATCCTCCGAGGATCTCTTGAGGTCCGGTTCGTTTGCGCAGGGACGGGCACGTGCGGCATGTGTTGACGTGGATTCAGTCCCCTCGTGCCCACCCATCGCCAGTCATGTCATAGGAACGTGGGCGTGAGAAGAGGTAGATATCATGCAGGTAACCCTTACTGCAGGCCAACTCGTGAGCAAATACTGCACCCCAGGGGGTCTGCTGCCGCCACTGAGGCCGATGAAGTAAGTGCAAGGACGTCAAATCAGTCGGTTTGTCCATCAGGCATGCATCTCTGGCCAGAAAATGCTCCTCGTGGGTGCCGCACTCCAGCTTACAGAAGCTGACCGTCGAATATCTCGAAGGCGACTTACCACCGAACGACTGTTGCAGGGACATCACTATCGGGATCGATGCCGCTCGCAGATTTTTGCTGGACTCCGCGGGTACCTGTGGAGCGTTGGTGATATTCGGATTATCCCGAAGATCCAAAAGCACCAGGCACCAAACCGGCCAGCCGTGCTCCGCAGCCATGAATGACGAGTTGCCTGTGCAGAAAGCTGGAGGTCTTCGACCACCGTACACAGACTTCTCCCCAGGGAGAGACGACCAAGCCTCGTTCAGACAACACAGTGAGGATATCCCGTGCGATCCAATAGGGCTGAAGTGTTTGGGACGCATTGTCCGCCGACCATCCTGAGCTTAGTGCTGCCGCCCCATATCGCTGCCTCACAAGGAGAGACGGTCAAACAAAGAACTGGCTCTGCCCGCCAAGATGTCGACGCAGTTCTTGTACCATCGGTTTTCGACTACCACCGCTAGAGATAGCCCTTTAATTTACTGGATCTGTCGTCACTGGTCTCGGGACGTCGACAGCCATCTCACGAAACACCATCGAGGCTGGCCAAATCGGCCAACCATGCAAGCAAATACAATCCCCTGGTTGAGCAAGTGGGAATATTTACGCAGTCGCTGCGTAACTTGGATTAACGGCGTAGCCTTAGTACCTACTGTGTTATCATAAACTCTCAGGACTGGCAAACTGCCGCAGCCGTCTGTAGAAAACCTTCAAGATCCAGTCCCATTTAAGGTATCCGCACCTCCACCCGCAAAGTAATTGAAGTACGAAAAGTATCACTCCGGTGCCCATAGTAACCCAGCACACTGCACAAATTCGACTTTGCTCGCCATGTTTGGGAACTACTCGGACCAAATAAGTGAAGTGGTGAGTTAACCAATCAAGTAAAAGTGGATAGCGGATTAAAAGCTGATAATGTACACTCTATTTATAACACCCCTAGCCGGGCTTGACATGACAAATGACAAGAGACGAAAGAAGCCGCTGAAGCACAACTAAAGTCCTCATGAAGGAGACACGATCGCTGGGACAACAGCTTTAATTAGCCTGATGTTTCGGATTCCTGCTCGAACCCATCATCAGAAACAACAGTAGATACGGGTGATTTATGCATAAGGGGCTGTAGTATTTATAGGATGCAGTCGCAAGAGGTGACAACCGCGTGAGCCGGGAGCTGTTTGAGTCATGGTTTACTGGCCCAAGCGCAATGAACTTTCCCTTCCATACTCAGTGCTGAGACTTCGCCTAGGCGGAGTAATTAGCCACGCGGGGAGCGCACAGGTGAACACTCGTCCCAACACCAGAGTTGGTGCGTCAGATAGTTGAGCAATCATCACACAACCATCCAACGCACGTGGTGAAATTGCAGCAATTAACGATGCGAATGTCGGCCATCAAACAATCAGCACACCAAGTGCGACGATCCCGGATGAAGGGGGGAGCCGTGAATGTTCATAGGTATGCGGTAGCATGGCGACTGCATCCTATAAATACTGCAGCCCCTTGTGCATGAATCACCCGTATCTGCTGTTGTCCCTGATGATGTGTTCGAGCAGGAATCCGAAACGTCAGGCTGATAAAGCTCTTGTCCCAGCGATCGTATCTCCTTCTTCAAGACTTCTTCCTGGGACTCGTCTCTTCGCTTCTATTGGTAAAGTCCTCATATGCTGCCAGTTTCTGATTGGTCAGTTATGTCACACGACAACTTTCCCATTCGCTCTTCGGCCAGCGTCGAGCCTCCAGCGGCATCTAGCGACTGTCAGCCCCGCCATGCACGCAAAGAACGACAAACGAGGATAAGTAGTGCAAAAGTCCAGAGAGTTGGAGGAGGGATGTGCATTTACAAATATCTCAAGATTATATAAAATGCATGACTTCGGCACTCCAAAAGGCGCGCGCGCACGTGACGCTACTTTGCTCAAAGACCAATCTTGTAGGCCGATCCGGCCGCGTTGTGTACCTTCGTCGTGACCGGAGCTGTCAAGGCCCACTCGTACCAAACATGACGCGTGGAAACACATCTCCACAGGTGCAGCACGATCTGCTCACCAGTCCTTACGGGCACCGGCGTCTCCAGGGGGAAGACCAAAGGGAACCAGGAGAACATGTTGGGGCTGTGATGCTGCGGATGAATGCCTATACACACAGGGGAGGCAAAAGCGCAAGTGAGGATGATGACGGAGCTCAAGAGGACTTCTTACTCAGGTCAATTTTCCCGAATAGAACGGCGTCAAAGTAGCCCGAGAATCCGTGCAGCATTGCGTCCTGGCTGGCAGTAAACACCAACGTGGTGAAGCGCGAATTGTCCTCGGCCAGACCTGCGACTGGGCCACTTTTACGCGGGTGTGTGAAGGTAAAGGCGGCTTTGGGGTCGTCTAGGAGTTGGAAGTTTTGCAGGCGTACGACGTACGGCGTTTCGAGGGGCTTCTGCACTCGAGTATGGGAACTACACTGCAAAACAAACCGAAAAAGCGTCCACAATACAGACTATTTGAGGAGTTCTTAGATATTTGAAGCACAACTGGTCAACATTTATACCTACAACAGTTATAATGCCCCGATAATTTGTGCTGCCTCGCTTGGTGGTTGCTGGGGTTTCAGTGACAGACCTATTGTGTATGTTTGATAATAAGTGGGTTCCGCAAACATGTATGCGACAGGCATTACAATATTGTGAGCAGCGTGATGTGATGGGTGGAAAGCAGGTTAAGTTGTCATCTTAACAGACCCGTCCTGCTGGTTTGTCATCACGGTAACTATGGTGCCTACACGAGCCTCTTGGCATCATGCAAAAAGGTCCTTCAAAGGCAACACCTATTACCCTTCCAGTATACGGAACTGAATCGACTACTTGAGTCAAGCGCTCTACCGCCTGAGTCACGGATCTGCGTCCTGTCGGCCGCGATCGAGGGAGGATGAAAGAAAATGGCTTGGCGGGGCGGGGAGGCTGAGGGGCCTCGGCAGCAGGAGACGATAGACTTTCCTTTTTAAGTTGAAAGCCAGACCTTACAAAGTGCCCTGTCAACAGGCCACGGGAGGAGGCCCATACTATGACACGCGCCAGGCCGGCTCGGGTGTGCAGTGCATACGTGAAAGGTTAGGGCATATTGGTTGTCAGTAAAAACCGTAAAACAGTCGTTTGCATATGCCTTCTTGGCACCGAAAAACTGCCCCGGTGTGAAGGCTACCTAAAGACGCATTACTTTGCGTTCATTGGGAGGCAGATAAGGGGCCGGATACAGACAGCGGGGGCGGGGGGAGGCGAGAATTCGACAGCACGAGACAGTGCTTCGGAAAGGATAGGACGGTCGTGAGTTCCGATTCTATTCCACCGAGGCTGCCGCGGTTTTCCACAATTAGCATTCAATTAAATTGTTCAAAACTGCCATCGTGCACACTAGTCCAACTTTCCTGGGCAGTCAGCCGACTGCATCAGTGGGTAACGTAGCCCAACAGTGGAAAAACTGGGTTCTCGGCCGGAGTCTAGTAGCTCAGGTGGCCAGAGCACTGGTTATATTTAAGCCATACCCCCTCCGTCGTGGGTTCGTGTCCCACCGAGGCCGCCGACTTTTTAAAAAATAAGTATTCAGTTAAATCGTTCGAGTCTGCTTAAAAAGGCATTGTTCTGACCGACGCACGCCAGTACTGGAAGGGGTTGCAAGCTCCATACTTTTATCGCCAGATGAGTACTTTATCGACACCGGAGGTTGCAGACGTGTTTGCTCTAGGCTGCAAAAGCCTTCCTTATTCTGGGACCTAGTTCTTTCAGCAGCAGCAGCCTGTCAGATCTGACAAGCTGATGTCCTAAGAATGTCAGATTTACTGCTGCCCCTCGCTCTGCCTCCTGGCTAAGTCAAGTCAGCTGGAGACAAGATCTGACGTGCTGACTGATATACAGTAGGTGGGCTAATTCATGAAATGTCAACCAAAATTCCGAAATGCGTTTTCGTCTCGAAAATATTAGTTAAGTAGGATTATAAAACTAATCATCATGCAGCATAATTCTATAATCATTCGGTTAACTCAGGATGCCAGCTTTCGAATGAACTTCTTTCCGACTGCATGCAAAAACTGTACTCCGCAAAAAATGACTACTTCAGTAGCATGTATCTTTCTCATTGAGTTCCAATGCCCCTAAAAGTCCAATTATATTTCATGGAAAACATCCATAAAAATATTCATTCTTCCGCTCATTCGGTAAGAATTTACGTCTTCTAATTTTATACTCGACGGAAGGATATTATTCTGTTTTCAAAAACTTTTCCGATTCCCGGATAATTTTGAACCCTCTCTGCCGTCACACTTGCATTCAGGGTTTCCAAACTACAAGCCATGTATTTTGCCCGTACGGAAAACCCCACATTTCTCTACGGCATTAAGAGAGTTCATAAAATGCAGCAGTGGATTTGCGCCATATTGTTAACTTTACAAGCCACATTGGCAAATGCAGAGACACGACGTTTTATGAATGGCCATCTTACGGTACCTAAAAGTCTCACAATTAGAGACTTAAAACCGAATTGTGTCCCTCCTTCGAGTACAAAATAGGAAGAAGACGTAATTTTCCACCGAATGAGCGGAAGAATGAATATTTTATTAAAGTTTTCCATGAAATATAACTGGACTTTTAAGGGCATCGAAAATCAAAGACAAAATACATGTTACTTAAGTAGTCATTCTTTACAAACTGTAGTTTCTGCATGCAGCCGAAAAGGAGTTTATTCGATAGTCGACATCCTGTGGTAACTGAATTATTATAGAATAATGCTGAATGATGATAAGCTTTGCAACCCTACTTAATTAATCTTTTCGAAACAAAAACGCATTTCGGAATTTCAGCTGACATTTCATAAGTTAGCCCACCTACTATAGCACAAAACACCCGTCTTAAGCGTGTCACGTGTTTGGCAACCCTGTCTGTGGTCTGAAGCCACAGCGCTGCCTGTTTTATCGCCACACCCCCCAGACCAGTAGAGGCGGTAGCTGGACGAAGTGACTTCCGCGGGCAATGCAACAAAACTGTAAGCACGAAGGAAGAAGAAGCCTGGTCGTCGAACGCCGGAACCATTTGCTTATTTGTCAGAGCTTCCCAACAGAGAAGAAAGCAGCAACAGAACACTTGACAATTGTTATAGAGGGTATTCGCCAATCAACGACCTACAACTGTCGCCTGCTCTGTTGCTGTTTTTACCCCCTGATGATGGACTCCCAGCACCAGTTGGAAAGCTCAGACAAGTACGCGAATGGTCCCGGCGTTTGACCAGCCTTCTTCATTGCCTCACGCATACAGTCACCTTGAATGTTCGCCGCCAATCGTACGCCAGTCGATGATGATGATGCGAGACCCACACTGCAATGTTCTCAAGACTCAACTGCCATTGTGAGAAGCATAGTCAAGCAAACCGAACAGAACTCACTAGCTCTCGGTGGCAAGCAGCCTCCTGGTGGATACGCAGCGATTGAAGTGGGGCCACATACGAAGTGTACGACGAGGGGATGCTTATTCCATTGTCTGCGAACAGGGCGGAGAAAAAGACATCTTTACCGCTTGAGGAATAATCATGGTCCGGCGCAGGGCAGGAACGACCCGCGAACGCTTACCTTTGAGCAGATGTTGTGCCCCATCCAGGCACTCGGGGCTGAGTTCGTTGTCTCCAAATGAGCCAAGGAGCTCGCTGACAAAAATGTCCGCCTTCTCCAGATCTGCGCTCAGCTGGCGCATATCACCAGGCATCAGGTGAACATCTCGGCCCTTCCATTCTGTCTCCAGACGATGCTGATGGAATTCAAGAAAAATCAGAGCTCAAAAGAAACGTTTTTTAGGGTGACAAGGCTATAAGGCCAAGGAGGCCCAACGGTGGGGGGGAGGGGGGGGGGAACATACGCGGAGAGTGAAAAGGGCGTTGGGATTCTTCTCAACCACGTAGATTCGAACGGGGCAGCCGGATCGTTCGCTGGCTTGCAAGCTGGCAGCAACAAAGGGTCCACGACCCGCACCCAGGATGAAGATTACCTGCTTGTCTTGGCCGGGGGCAGGTGCACCGTTTGTCTTCATGGAAGCGTCCGTAAGGGCGGGAAAGTCCTCCGGGGTGAAGGCGACTGGTTGTGACCTCCTGCAGCGATCCATAAGAGCCATATAGATGGCCTAAGAAGAGGGCGGGATAAAATGCTTTTGCTCTCAGCAACAAATCACTCTGAGGTTGCCTATAAAAATGTTGGGAACAGAGACACGACAGTGCAAGTTTTGACGACAGCAAATATTACATCTGCTGCGGCAGTGCCGTTGGAGAATGCTAGAACCTCAGTCAGTTACGAGCGCCAATCTGTCAGCTTACTGGTCGGGAAGGATAGTGGAATACTGGTTGAAAAAGGGTATGGCGAGGGGGGAACCGTTAGTAAAGATGATGGATCAGTGTTAGTAAGGGAGCTGTAATGCGGCCAGGGACAGTTGTTGGACGCGATTTCCGACAGCGGTCCTGGGGAGTTAAAACTTCCCCAGCCGGTCAGACGGCTCCAATCAACAGCCGAGTCAGGTTTTCGCTCCTACTCCTCCTCTCTTCCGGCCAGAGGCAGTCTCCGTAAATAAGGACCTTCGGGGTAAATTGTCCTTCGGACGACGCCGAACGTGCCTGAACAAAGAGAGACGATGTTGGTCAATCATTTAGTTAATGAACCAGTGATTAGTGGACCTCTCCATCGCCACTAAGATTCGCACGTACGGTGCATCTGTCCGGTCTGTCCTTCTCTACGGTTGTGAATGCTGGGCTTTGCGCGTGGAGGACGAGCGAAAACTGGAGGTATTTGACCACCACTGCTTGAGGTCCATCCTTCGAGTGAAGTCCACCGACTTCGTCTCAAATGAGACAGTCCGCACTCGCTGCGACAACATCACAAGGATAACACGGGCCATCCAAGAAGGATGACTGAGGTGGTTCGGGCATGTTCCTCGTCGTCCACCTCAGGAGCTCAGTGTTACTGCCCTCGATCCGGCACCGCAACCCCATTGGAGGCGTCGAAGGGGGGGGGGCGGTCAGTTCAAAACCTGACTCGACACAGTTCGTCAAGACATGAACGTGGTTCTTTGACCTTCGGTATTCGGTCTACGTCGTTGGCGAAGGGAATGGGTTGAGCTGTCCAGATCTGCTGCCGCGGATCGTCACGCGTGCAGAGGTACAGTTCGTGACATCGAGGCCGGCTAGATCAGGTATGATCGCAGCCGCATCAAGTACAATGAGGTCAACTTTCTGCGAGTAGATGTCAATGCCTTCGCCGCTCAGTCCGTCGACACCGAAAACTATCGGGCCGCGCGCTTTCTCTCTCCCTAGGTCTGTCCACTAATAGCGACAGCGCCAAATTAGACAGAATTTGGACAGAGGCAGGACATTGAGAGAACACATCTTTTCGACGATAAAGGATGCAAAAAATCACACAGGCTTTCATAAGGCTGACAGTCACGTCATCGCAGGCTGTTGGTGTTGACGAAATAGTGTTTCCGTGCACACCCCATTTTGGGTACCAAGCGGCTGACTGGTATGGGCCACAGACCAGAACATCACCTCCTTCTCCCGTCCGTAGGTAAAACCAGAACAGCCCCGCCTTGAGGCGTTTTCGCTCTGGGCTCGTTAGAAGACATCCTCAGCAGCAGGAAAGGCGGGAGTGTCGGTTGAAACAGCATGCTTGGCCTGGTGTGGGACTACAGTTTTTGCGTGAGGTTTGTACTTGTGTGCCGGTCTGCCGAATGCGAGGCAGCACAGACACTGTCGGCGAACACCGCCTCTCAGCCCTTGGGGCCTTTTTAGCAATCGGTGCCCCCCATCGTGTTGCGGGCCATGTATCAGCTGAAAGGTCCCCAAGTGCATACCCCGTTGGACACATGAAATCTATCGACTGTACCTATTTCGCTGAAGAAGAGAAAACATAGAGTTAACTTGAACATACCTCCTCGTAGGCCTTGTACTTGTAAGAATCCATCTCGAAGACTCCGTAAGTTGTAGAGGATAGATTATCTTGAAGAGGTTGAAGCGGTTCCTGAAATGTTAGCAAGCAGTCAGTTTATTGCCAGCGTTTTTGCATTTTTCCGCCAGTAAACTTTGACCAAAGATCACCTGTGAGAACGGCGCTATATGCATGTACACTGAATGACCGATCTCATGAAGTGTTAGACGAAATTTTGAAATGCGTTTTTGATTAGCAAGAGTTATTTGGGTGGGGTTGTAATGCTGACTATCATGTCGCATAGTCTTAGGGTATTTCCGACTCGCGGGGATGTTGGCTTTTGAATGCACTTCTTTTTGACCTGTGAAAACTGCCCTCGGTGAAAAAAGTGACTACTTAAATAGCATGTACGTTTCACATTGCTTTTTGATGGCCTCCTAAATGAAGACATATCTTACAGAAAGTATACACGAAAATGTGCTTTCTTTCGGTCATTTTGTAGTAAATCATGTCGTCTTTGCATTTTATGCTCGAAGAGTATCTTTCGGCTTTAGAAAAGTTTTCCAATTTCCGAATGATTTTGGGCCAGATCAGCCACTGCGTTAGCCTTCAGCGATTTCAGTCTACAAGGTGTATACTTTCCGCATAATGAAAATCATATATCCCTCTATGTTTTTGAGACGACGCCATGTAGAATTCATACAATTTCGCAATGGATGCGGACTGTGTTGTACACTTCGTGAGTAGCATTAATAAACAGACAGGCACGATGCTGCATGAATGGACATTGCACAGTCTTAAAAAATCTCATAATTGGAAACTTTTTTAAAAAATCGACACGCACTCTTTTTCGAGTATAAAATGCGAGGACGACGTAATTTGCTACCAAACTAGTAAAAAAAGCATATTTTATGCATGTTTTCCATAAAATATATTTGAATTTATAAGGCCATTAAAAATCATCGAAGTCCTGTGCGCTCTTACACAACTTCTGTTTCTCTTCAGTTGAAATAATCAGAAAAAGCATGTGAGATATTACCTGCAGTTGGTCCTCCAGTCCTCTAGAATGCTTCTCATAGAGTGTTTTATTTTCGTTGGCACTCTTCCAAAGCCAGTTGATGTACTGCTGAAACACTGTAAGACCTCGTTCGTGTTGGCATTCACCGTGCACCATCATTTGCGAATTCAACTAAAAGAGAGCGGACGATGAACAACGGTTTGCTTTGATCAGAAATAACAAACAAATCAAACCCACCACCAACTCCTCTCTTTCGTTCACGTTACAACTACTCATTCAGCTCATATGACTCTACCAACTAAAGAAAGAACCAATGTTGGAGGGAGCATGACGTTTCGGATTCACACTCGAAACCATCACCAGTGCTACGTCTCTATCTCTAAAATGGGGAACGATGGATAGGGCACTCGATGTGGCAGTTGCGAAATTTAGGTCCACGCAGATTGCCCCCCCCCCCACCCCCCGATTGCATCGATCCACTGCCTGGAGTCCACATAAACTCCGGTCGCTCGGCTTTCCGACCAACAACAAGCAACAACAACAGTGGGCGACAGTACCTTGAAGAAGCGGCGCAGGACGGACTGGTGGGCTGCAGAGAGGACTGGATAGCCCTTGGAATTGAGGACGAAGATGTCGGTGGACAGACTCAGGCACGAGACAGGTTCACTGAGCCACCGCTTAATGACCGACTCGCTCGGTAGGTCGGCACCGAGCTCAAGAAGAAGGCCAAAGGACTCGGAGGTGTCGCCTGCTAGGCTGACCAATTGGGTCCACCAGTGCCAGGGTGAGGATTCGCACGCGTCCCCGCCCTCTGCGCGAAAATAAAATAGCCAGAGAGTGAATAAAGGGCAGGGAGGGAGAAAGAAAGAGAGAGCGGGGGACGTCTGTCACACTAAGTAAGTAGATAGTTAAAATGTGACATAGGGTGAAGAGTTGTCGGCTTTCAGCAAGTCGAAAGATGTGAAGAATTTAAGGGTAAAAAGGAGAGCAGATAAATTGAAAAGTACTGGTATGGTCCCGCTGCAAGATGAAGGCGAAGTTGCGTTAGACAAGTGAGGGGACTGACAAGTCCGTTGCCGTGGACATCACTATTGGCAGGAAAATAGTTGCCACATGGTCCACTTTGATGGGGCTGATCAGTGCTCAAAAACGATGTCGGTCGGCGGAAAAGTATGGGCTCAGGGTTACGTAAAATCAAACTAATTGATGAGAAGGTGCGCGTTGCGGAAACGTCCGCTGCTGGAGAAGAACTGGGCACAGACCGATCAAGACGCCGGACTCTGAGGGCATAAAATTGCCGTTCGATGGTTACGCAGTCTAGAGAAACTGGAGGCAAGACGGTCGGGGACGCGGCCGAGCAGTAAGAACCCGATAATTGAGTGGTCAACAAACGCATCGAGACTTACCTACAGGATGAAGGACGCAGACCAGCCCGATGCTGGGGCTTGCTACTAATGTAAATCCAGTTAACGACACGAATACTTGGCGAGTCAGCCTATGCCCACTCCATGGTAGTTTTTCCGTATTACGTCAAAAAGGCTGACTCTCCTCCCCCCGTATCAAAAACCCATTGTCGAAATGCAAAGTCGGACGAAACGAAAGACGGCGAGGGCAAGACTCGAGTAATGGTCAGAAAAAGCGTCAAGTCTGTAGTATTCACAATCAGCTTAATCCTCCGTGTTAAGCTTGTGCACTGATCAATTGTAGAACGGACCGGAAAGACCAATGTTACCTGGGTTTAAGACGATTTTAACAGATTCTCAGCAAGTAAAGAGGTCGGTCTTTTACGCTCAAAATCGAAACGAGCCAACTGGAAGTTAGGCGTTTGCTATTTAACAGAAGCTGTCTTTCCGATGGGGGGTGTGAGTAAGTTTTAAGTCCAGGAGTTTTGTAAGCTAATGAGCCAATTTGACTTTTAAAGAGACTAAATGTAAATCACGGAGATGTCTGAGGACTCATCTGGCAAGCGTGAGGGGTTCGGAGTAGAAAGAAACGCATTGTACGAAAATTATGACTCATTCGACTGCGCACAATGATTGTGACTGGTTAAACATGCAGTGCACGCCTACGGGACTGATGATGGAGACTTTCTGGATGTTTTAGGATGTTTCAAATTACCCCATCAGATGATTTAAGATTTAATAGCACGACTTACGCGCAAGTTGTTACATCAGAAATATGAATCAACCCCTAGACCAGGATTTTACCGCTAAACAATGTGTTCAATCTACTGTGCACCAATAAGGGCACCGCCAGCTGAAGGCTGAAAGCTGATTGGCTCAAGTAGCAAGAAAGACACGGAACATAGAAAGTAGAGGTACTACCATCGCGCTTTTAAAAACTTTGCAATAATAACGCAAGGCTCTTATAGCAGTTAAAAGCAACTATGCATGAGTGAAGAGGGTGAGTGGAGTTAAAGTGAAACGAGTTTGTGCCCCAGAAATTACATGACGCACAGCCTCTAAGATTCAGAACTTAAAAAGAATGCTAGAAAGTTTTCGCTGATAAAGAACGCAATGGTTGCACGAACGCGGTGGCTTAAAGAGCGAATTTGTCCATCATACGAAGACTTTAATTTGTAAAAGGAATCTGTGGATTTGCCAACAAAGCACAGTGACATGTTAATACGGCCGGACACTACCTATATTCGCACTGGAGACACCTGTGGGGTCGATCGGGAGAACAGATCTCACTACGCTAATCTATTATTGCGCCTAAAAGCTAAGCCCATGCACGGAGATATCGGCAAAACGCACTTTGGAGCAATAAAAGAGAGGTAAGTCATCAGTTCCGCGTGACACTTGTCGTACAGTCAACACTAGATCTCAGGAGAATTCGACCGCAACTCACGCAACAAGTCATCATTATATACCATATTTAAAGAAAAAAAAACAAGTCAAGCTGTCGTTCGTTGTTCAAGCTGCTTACCCTTGCCGTCATCGGAGGAGTCTTCCATCAGACTCATGGGAACTGAAATCCAAATCTAAAGACTGCTCGATGACAAAGCAATCGAAACAAACCCTGACTGGCGCATATTCAGTGATAGTAAAAGAAGTCAGGATTCGTGCCAGATTGGGGTTTGCCAGTCGTCTAAGGGATATGCACACAACACGCAGGGCGAGGTGAGCAGCCCAATGAAGCTCTTTCAGCAGACACTTTTCCGAAGCTTTGCGCAAGGCGGAATCCGGCGCATCACAGTCGATCCACGACGACACATAGCCAACAAAGTTTCCGGCAATGGAGTCACCTGAACGAAGGATGGGGGTTACATATTTAAGTAAGCTACCAGTTTCGGAGTGGATCTGATCTGAGCGGATGGCCGGCAAAATAGCATCAATCTTCTCGTTGGTCAGTTTGGGCTCATCGGAATGCTGGAACAGATCTGCCCCTACAAATGCATACCTGCATTACTTAAATGAAAGGATGGAATCAACTTACCCCATAGAGACGGCATCATCGTAGGCTGTTTTCAAATCTCCCGTTTGGCTGATGCGCAGACCAACAAGCGATGAGTGCATAATTAACGCGTCAGTAGGCCCAAAATCTGGAAAGAAGTGAAGCGATAAGAACAGCACGCGGCATGTCAGCAGACCTGTCGATGCCCAACAGCTAAGTGATCAATGAGTCCACTATGTCTTGACCAAACAAAGCCTCTAAAACAATTGGACCATGGTACTCTTGCAGCACCTACATACTTGATATTTTTGAATAATGGACTATATAGTTCAATTTTCCGCCTCCTTATCAACTACTGGTCACTCAGAGGTTAAGAAAACAAAAACGGAAGTCAGGTACACAAGAATCTGGAAAGGTCTACAGAGTGAACGAATGGGTAGACCATCTCCTCTTAAAACGCCGTAGCCAACCGATCATACCAGAACCTCAGACTAAGGAGACCCGGGATCAAAGTCAGAATAATTTGCATTGATACAAGCCCAAGTGCTGCACTGAAAAGGGAGGATCCCACGTTTCTTCCGATGCGGCCGGAAATATTGGCGTCGTGTGTAAGTTGCCCTAATTATCTTGGTCGGACTGCACGGCAAAGGAAAGACAGCGACCAACACTTCTATTACAACGTGGGTATGTACCTGATTACTAACAGATGCAGTAGACAAGTGCCACGTTTCAGAGAAGGTAGTGGATTTGGTTTGTGATAATGTTTACAAGCCCCCTCTCTACCTTTTTAAAAATGTAAGACACAGCGACTGTTGCGTTCCTAGCATAATACTACTGCATCCGCGAAGGAAAGGCTACGTCAACGTCAACAGTGCATGCTGGAGAGCACCGTCTATCTACATTTTGGTGAAGAGGCGAGCCATCGAGGGTTCAGACAGCTAGGGGCATATAAAAGATGGACTTTGTTATGGTCCGAAATTCCACTAAAAAGCGATCTTTTTGGACGGGACAGGCTACAGAAACACAAACTCATTCAGACAGAATCCATTCGCCTAGGGACTGACTGGCGGCGGTGGCCTGTTGGCAACGAGCGCTCGAGCAGAACTTCAGAGTGGCCGTTGGAGTCTGTTCAGAGGCGAAAGTTTTCTGGCCGAGTTTGTACTTCCATATTACTACTTCGACACACAGACGAAAATGGACATTTCGGCAGCTGATATTTATTTCCTCCATAGGACAAGTTATGAGATACACGCAAATACGTCAGAATCAACGTAACATGGAAGAGACAAAGTGGCCAGGTAATGAGGGGGATAACATGAAGGAAAACTCAGTATGTTATTCGATACGGATGAAAGAACTGAAGCCCAAACCAGTGGATTCGCGGTTCTTAAGATTGTTGTTCAAAAAATTTATTTAACCTTGTGAAGTCTGAACAGCTTCCCTTTGAAGTCCGCCATTAGTTCTCTATCACTGCTTATCATTTATCCTAGCTTTTGAGCGTTTTACTGAGTGAGAGCCCAAATCGTAGCGAGCCCCAGAGAGGTGAACGAAATTATGGCTATTTGCCTGCAACACACCAGTTATTTTACTGAAAGCAACTCACAACTTGTTTCAACGAACCTGAAAAGGCGTTTTCCGCAAGAGTCTCATAAGTCACTGCTACTTTAATATGTAGAGTACAAAAAGTTTTGAAGAAAATAATTGGGACAACTTTAACGCTTTACTGTTGTTACTTTTTCCCGCGGAACCGAACCTGTGCGAAAATGAGGCGATAACTAGTGTTGCTGAAACAGTCGGTTTTAGGGAGTACTCTGGTCTGGCACTTATAAGTTTAGGCGTTTTCGGACGAATTCCAACTACTTTCACATCTACCGTGGTGCAGAGTACCACATGGTTAAAATCTTCTCAAGGTCTTAGAGGCCTACTTCGACGTCCTTTCCATCGTCACTATATCTGAGGACTCAGAGCAGAGACAGAGAAGCTGTTCGAATCGTAATGCTTGTCTAGGAAATCGGCATTGTCTTTTTACAACAACCAAAATGTTTGTCTGGAATATACTGCAGGCTCGGGTAGAATACATTAGAACTGGAACGGGCGAGCAGTTTGAAAGGTCGTTACTTAACGATGTAGTCCACAGATTCCGAAAGAATGACGAAACAGACGGCTGTCGGTTTCTGGTATGTAAGACGAACAACGGAGGTATGGCTAACTGCCATCCAATCTCGGTAAGAAGTCTGGTTTCGGTAAATTGGACGCTTTGGAATCTTAGGCGAAAAAAGGGGGCTCTATCTGTTTGGTACGAATTGTGTATTATTTTCTCCACTCACGAAAATTGTGCATTTAACTGCACTGCTTTGAGGACGACGAGGCAGATATCAGCAACGTACTCGCCAAAAAGAACATCGATCGCCGACCTTCTTTGCTTGTGTAACAATGGCTTCGGAAGATGCAGGGCGCCTGGATAAACCGCAGGGCCGAGGAAATAAAAAGGTACGAGGACCGCAATGAAACGAAGAAATTTTTTGCACAAATCAAGACGGTCTACGGCCCCACAAGCAGGAGAACCGTGCCACTTCCCAAATCCGATGAAATAACACTCCTTGCGGAGAAATCCCTAATTTCGAGGCATTGGCGCGATCACGTCGGAACCGTCCTCAACCGCTTATCTAAAATCCCTGACGTCGGCAGCGACCAGGCCCCCCAATAGGAAACGAAAAACGATCTAGACTTCGAGCCTTCTCTCTCAGAAGAAATTGGAGCCATGCAATTACCCTTCAGTGGGAAGCATACTAAGCCATGTCTTTGTCTTGAAACTGGCATGATCCGACTTGATGCAAAGTGAACAGAACAAAGAGTTTAATTATTCAGTAGCTGTCGGATAAGGTAAACGCGAAACAGTCTACCTGACTTATTATATATGTTGATAATACAACCGATAGTTCTAGGTTCGGAGTAAAGCATCAATACACAACTGCCATCCTGCGTCAAAGTTTGCGGAAGAGATGAACACAGAACCTGTTGGCAAAATTTAAAAGGCGGACCCCGGATGCCAGACAAACTTATAGCGATATTGCAGGAGGTGACGTAAAAAAAGCTCCTCGGGATTTCAATGTCGCGATTATCGTCCACCTCTACTAGAGGAAAGGAAAACGGCAACTCTGTGATAGCCAAGGAGGAATCTGGCTGCTTAACATCACCGGGAGGTCTTCACTCGCATTCTTCTCAATCGTCTTAATGGCCGTCTAGAGCAGGGATTAGAGGTTGTCAACAGACGATTTGGCTTAGCTCACACAGTCGGCGCAGTTGAGTGTCTGTGTGTTGAGTGGCCGCCTGGTGGACCGAGTCAGGTTGCGATGGCTCTTCCCTGATGTGACCTCTATGGCACTCTTACACATGTGAAATCGGAACCGTCCGTCCCCTTATCTGAAACGCTGGTGTGGTCTGTGTTTTGGGGGGGAGGAAAGGTCGTGTAGGGAACGCACACAGACGAGCTATGGCTCTCCGAACGAATGCGGTCACTCCCCGAACCAGACAAGTGGTCGGTTTAGACAGCGGACTGATGCCTGGGAGTGGGAAGAGAGTGAGGACAACAATTTCAGCGCATATTGCTTACTAGTAACAATCCAACAAGCTTGAAGTAATCATGGTAAGCTAAAAACCGTGGCTAAGAGGGCTGTCAACTGGCGGAATAACTCGGACATCACAGTCAGCCCAGTGTTTGTATGGAGTGGCCGACTGGTGGACTGAGAGTCAGGCTGAGATGGCCCCACTCAGTGGAATCCGAGCTGGTGTGGCGGTACGCTCAGGTACGGGTTCTGGCCGCGGCAGTCACATGCGCCCTCCCTCGCCTCCCGCCTCCTTGACTCCGCCATGACAGGGAATGAAGGCGAGAGATGAGTATAGTGTAGTAGATGTCGCGCAAGTCTACTATAACTTTAATTCACACGCAGGTCAGCGTCCCAACGCCGAAATTACTATGGGACACGCGTTGGACCTTGCCAGGACCGACAGTCGAACTGTCATCTGTTTGCTGAATTTTCCAGGTAAGGTAGTTGTTTTGACGATTTCCGTTCCCCGAAGGACATGCAGTGTAAGCATTTCCTGGTGTATATCGACACAGCTGTTTGAAATGGTGGTGTCCACTACATACTTTAAATACTATTTGTTAAGACATAAATGTGTGTGTGTGTCAGTGAATATATTCACCATTATCTATCTGCTTGCTGCACACACCCCTCCCCCACCAGCCCTGACAAACTTTAGCCCTCACAAGACTAACTCATACGGTTAGCCTGGCTAGTTGTGAGATTGGCTGAGTTTTGCCAGCAGTGCAGCAGACACGACCCGCCCAGCAAACACTCCAGAGAACAGTTGTGCTCAGTCAGCCAATCAGATAATTAGCTACGCATAAGTAGCAAATTTGGGTTGACCAAGACTTCCCCAGTGTTTCCAGGGTCGGCTAACAATGATTTCGGCTCGATATAAGGCACGTAAAAACTAGAATGGAAATTTCGCGATATAAAAAAATGCAAAATAACATGCAAGTATTCACTCAGGCGGCCAGAATACAACCCACATGTAGGATCCCGAGGCCGCACCGCGCAACCGTCTTGCCCGCCTTAATTTCAGCGCAGTAAAATCACAAAGTTATTTTAACCAAGTGACCACGAGCGCAGTTACAGAAATTTTTCCCGAACAAATGGTTTCTAAGTCATTTGTGGGTCTTTCGCTGAGATGTGTACGAGTATAGCACCCAGGAAAACCATTGGAGTGCTCTGTTTATGTCAACAATCGTGGGCTGTGTCAGGACACCGTAGATAGTATGCAGATAAACAGCAGTGGTCAAAAATTGTACGACGGAAGCACTGGCACTCAAGCTGTCAGGGAAGACTATAAAAGGGGGGCGAAAAAGTGGCAAGTTGCAAACGAGTACTTAAGGTATATGTAACAAATATGATGGAAACGATCCCGGATCGGCGAAAGTAATTTATAAGAATAATAGTTTTTTACTATTAAACGACCGGAGTGCATCATCAACGTAAAATCAACACTGATTTAGTTTGCAAAAACCCACTCCATAATGACCGACGTCAAATTTGTCTGATATGTATAACTGAATTTCGAAACTGTGCGATGTAAATCAGTAAGTTTTTCTCGTTTTTCGGCGTTTCGTCTATCCGCGCTCAGTATTTGTGATAATAATGCAAAAAAGGTCAACTTAGAGGTTTTTAGATAGAATGGTTAGCCCAGCTCGAAGCGGTAAGCAAGTCCCGAAGCTGAATCTCGGGGTGGCTCACGGGGAACCCACACATTCTGTTGAGTGTTTAGGAGTAGAAAACGGCTTCGCGAAGGGATGTGGAGCGAGAGGACCTATTTATCCTTGGGAATGGGTGCATTTATAAAGGCTGGTCGGTGAGAGGGTACAAAACGTCATAATAATGTGCGCGAAGGCACTAGGATGTGGCAGACCTTCGTTGGGACCGAAAACATTGGTTAGACAATGATATCCCATCGACCAGAAAGGGGCCCTGCTGAGGGTGGGCGATGATTGAAACGAAAGCGTATTAGAACGTGTCCGCCAAGATGGCAGAGACAATTTTTCTGAGGGTCGGGTTTGGGAAACATCGTCTTCTTCGAAGGTCCCGATGCCTAGAATGAGTAAAGCTAAACTTCTGGTGAGAGATTATAACCGTTTAAACCGATTAAGAAGAGGAACATTGAAGTGGACAAGGTGAACTTCAGACGGCGACCCCTCCTCGGAGTTACCTTAAGAGTTATCTAGTAAAGGGAATTTGCATATTTTCGATTTTGGACGGTTATTCTTGCTCACTATACCAAAGATTGGGCAGTAATATTTACGGACGAAAAGGGCATACATATGGCATCAGGTTAGAAAGTGTAAGAGATTCGGTTTGATAATCTTAGAAATACGAAGGGCTCACCGGATCAGTAGAATTGAGGGGCTGACTTTTCGGAGGGCTTGATTTCGATCGGCCCAAGGCCAACTAATTCGGCCGTTTGTTCAAAAATCTGGTCGGTTTTTTACACAAAGCGTTTTCATAATGTATAGCCGGCCAAGTCGTCCGAAACGTCAGCCATTTAATTCCACTGATTCGGTGAGCCCTTCATATTTCGAAGATACATACGATAAAGTCTTAATTCGATTTCAAAAACACGAAAACTATATAGAAGTAAAGTACGAATCTGGACAGTTTTAGCCACAATTCTGTCGGCGTGCGGAGATCGATCTGGATTACTTGCGTAAATTACAACGGAGTCCTCGATGATACAACCTTCAGTCACAGGGATGCCTTGAAATATCGATGGTTGAAGTAGTTTTCAGGTCAAAAAACGCATGCAGAGGCTTGTAGATGGAGAGAATATCATTGACTGTGTAGAGCTCCACCAGGAAAGACCGAGAAAATCGGTGTGAATTGGACCCGAGGAACGTTGGGATGTAAAGTTAGAAGAAAACGCGTATTTTAAATCATGAGCATAAACAAAAGACTGGGTGTGTTTAGTCGTCGAGAAATATCATTAATGTAAATCAAAACATAAGACGACCTAGCACAGCAGCTTTGATGAGGGTTTATAACATCCTGTCATTTAAAGGTGAGGAATCGTTTAAAACGTTTCCTCGATTTTATGAATTGGAATTAATGAAGTCAATAAGAGGCCTGCTAATTCCTAAAGTCTCCAGTTTTACTAAACGTCTTATGTGTGGCACTTTATCCAAGGGTTTACATAGATAAAAATAAATAATGACCACAGACAACTTCTTATTACGAAAAGAAATGAGTAGATTTGGAAAAGATATATGACGCGTTTTGCGAAAGCGATCACGCAAAAAGCCCTGTTGGGAAAAGCTATGGACCTGGTTGGCCAAACAAAAATTACTAATCGTAATTGCAGTCATTTTTGGGCAGTTTAGCAAATGAGGGTGTTTTATAAGCACATGAGCCAGAGCCAGAGTTAAGGACTGGAATAAAAGTAGAAGTTTTCCAATAAGCAAGAAACAATCCAGTCTCGAGAACGACTAAAAAGAATTTACGTCGTAGATGAGGGTGTTCCTCTAACAGCTTAATAAGAAAGTTAAGGATTCTACCAGTTCAAGTCAAGTGCAAGTTAGTAAGGTGGCTTATCTTTTTCTGAATACTCGCAGGTACACAATTGATTGTGTGGAGGAATGCATCAGATAATGGGGAAATTAAGTTGATGATGTCGGTTCCAGGAACAAAATGATTGGTAGCTTATATAATTCTGCCCAATTATTTATGTCGACTTTCGGGTTGAGACAAAAAAGTCTAATTCTGGCCGATTTACTCCAAATTATTGATACAGTTCTGAGGAGGTTAATCAGTCAAAATGTCGAATTAAGTCTGCGCAACCTTTTAAATGAGTTCACACACCTGGCCGTTATTGCTATAACAAGGATTTCATGCCCACTCAATTAACGCCTTTCTATTTCGTGGAAAGCTAACGGAAACAAAACAGATGTTCCCGTATAAAGATGAAGTGCTCAGAACACAAGTCGAATGTGCTAGAGTGCCTCTAATATATAGGAGACAATTTCCGTCAAGTTTGTCAATGCGGCCTCTCCGAAATAATCTGCCATTATTGATGGTCAGTGCCAAGTCGAGAAGTAATGGATGGGACCGAGATTCAGTAACGCACAATGAATATCGGGCGAACTCAAAAGCTATGATCCTCATCTACATCATCTTTTATGCGAGTGATCTTTTGCTGAAGGAAACTACACAAAACAGATTACTTAATTGCAGGTTACGCTCAGTACTGTTTATGACAGATTCACGAACAGTTCAAAATAAGTGATCAATTTTCGTTTGTATGAATGGAACACCGGTCCACCAGTATGCGCAAAGTGAGGAGATTTTATCTGGTCCTTTTGTAGAAGAGGGAAAGTTCTAACTGCAGGCTTGGACGGTTATGATTACGTTATTCCATGGCAGATCATGCCATGGTGGGTCTCCTCGACTCCTGCAGGAAATCGAGACGTTTCTTGGGCAATTTGCATGCAGGAGTTGATACTTCTTCTTTAGGCAACTTGTTCATGTGGTCGCCAGTGCGTCACAAAATCTCATTTCCCCTATTTATTTACTTGCCCGAGGCTTTACCGCTCTCTGTTTATCTCATACTTTCATAAGGTTTGTGCGTTTCCGTCTCTGTTATAACGGAGGAATTGTAGATCTTTTAGACTTTCTTCGAAACTTGGATTATAATACAAGAAAGCAGGTCGATTTTCATGTTCATGAGCCTTTTTCACAATTTCTACACCTCGCATGGGTGGTGAAAATCATACTGGCAAGATGCATTTAAGGTGTTATCGAAAAAAGCGCAATACATAGCTCGAATAATTTTGCTCATTGAACTGTTAACGACGTCAAATAATAGAATCGTCGTCGCTTTAATGACCTGGTACGAATAAAGATAAAAATCCGTTGATCAGCGGTTGATTCAGTTTACAAAAGACTTTGCCATATCGCTTTTGGTAGACACATATTTTACTTTCCCTTAAGCCTATTTAAGTTCATTCACTGAGGCCTTTCATTGGTTAATCCATCTGAGAACTTTAAAAACGTATTCTTTGATTAAAGGATGGTCGTATGTATGGCCTACGTCCTTAGTGTCTCCTTGACAGTTGTCGAAAAGTTCCTCCGACAGTTCATTTATACGCATAAAAGGGGCGAATATCTTAGCGTAGAGCCCGTGGAACATTGCTACGCACATGAAACCCTTACTAAGTAGCTGCTTGAATGGTTATAACGAATGTTCTGTGATCAAGATAACCTTAAGTCTCCTTCTGTGTGATTTAGAATATATGACGAAAATGGGTAGCGAGAGGGGAAACTGCCGTCTATTTGCAAGGAAATTGATATATTTTATTTCACGTCACGGCTGGGCATCTTATCTTCATTTATCTCGTGAATGGGAGGGTTGATTAATTGCGCTAGTTCAAAAATCCCCCGTTGAAAAGCCCATTTCCTTCCCTCCATGATATTAAACATCCTGATCTCATTAGTTCCGTACTCTCTATAAGAAAGAGGAAATGTTCAGACATTTTTAGTTGACCAGGAAGGCCTAAACTCGTCGCTCTCAGTTTCAATTTCTCCAAAACAGTGTAAATTTCGGTCATCCAGGGGCGCCACTGTTGAATGCAGTATTGGCCGACTGACCGAAACGGTTGGACTTTCTGAATATCCATAATATCCATTCAGTTATTCAAACGCGCATTCAAAATAACCTTTAGAAATACGGAAGTTAACCAATAACGTTACAATTTAGGAGGTCATATGCGTATGCTGAATAGCAGTGGTCAAAGCACTGGATGCTGAGGGAAGTTACTACTAATAGGCACTGGTCGAGACATCAAAACGTGGATGTTCGGTGAGAAGACGAAGTTGGGTAGTAAAAGGAAGAACACTTTTTGTGCATGTTTTCTACAAAACATGTTTGGATTTATAAAGGCATCGAAATTGAATGGGAAAATTTGTGCTACTTAAGTATTCATTTGTACGGAATTAAGCTTATGCAAGTTGTCGATAAGAAGCCTCATTCGAAAGCCGGCATCCTGACGTGGCTGGAACATCTTGACATTATGTGGCACGATAATAAGCATGACGACACTAGTTAAGTAATATCTTTGAGTTGAAAACGCATTTTAGAATATCGGTTAAAATATCTATTGTGCATCGACATTTCGCTCTTTAAGTGGGATAGACAAGATAGTAGAACTGGCAGGGGTCTTTGGCTGGTCCCGATAAGTAGCGACAATACGTGAGCGCGTGGCTCGACTGCTAGCCAATGGGCAGCTGTGTTCGGAGTCCCGGGTTGGGCTATTATGACTTATTGATGTTGACAAATAAAGGATGAATGGGCATTCCGGTCCCCCTGGCTGCTGGCAGTAGTATTTTTCTCCTGAGGAGACCTGACTGAAGCATACCTATCTTCCATAACCTAGCAAAAACAACCGCATTTAGGGGAATCCGAAAAAAACATTTGAGGGAAGTTCAAGCTGTTTTGGTTATCAGTAGTCACAACGCCATCAATGGTCGCGCTAATGTTACATTCAAATTGAAACGTGGACATGATCCTACATACGTATCAAAATGTCAGTGGGAAGCAAATCTTGACTCTACAGCTACAGGATAAAAAGCAGGAATAGTTACATTAATAACGGTATTTGTCAATCTGGGCTTACTGCGGTACGGACCAGGGTTACCCTATCACCCCTGGTTGCCTTCCTGAGTGGGACATTCTTGTCGTTTAAATAGTACCAGTTACATCAGACATCAGGTGGGTCCGTAGCTGAGAGTCAAGACAGGTTGTGTGTGCATTTTCAAGGTGTTGTGACCCGTTTAAATCTTCATTCCACTCGGGTCTGAGCAGGACTGGGAGCAGTATTTGAGGCAGTAATGCCAGTTCTAGTCTCTCGCTCTCTGTTAGTGCACGAATAGGTTTCTGGTATGCTGGTGCTACGAGATCACATAAAGGGCCTTCTGCGGTGTATCAGGTGTAATCAGTTTGAAAATTTCTTGTTTTGGATAGGATGCAAAGTATACTCCAGATTCCCACATCAAATTCTGAAAAGCATCCTCGTGTTTGCCTCGGAGATAAGGGCCTACGATGCAGGCTTTCCGATGCAGGCCTCTATATACCAACTAGCCATGAATAATGAAGGGGCAGATTTATCGACAAAGGCAGGGGTAGTGGAATTTCCATTTTTGGTTCATTTGCTGTCACTGGCTATGGAAACCTCAACACTAAGCTGCACGTGCCGAGTTTGACGCGAACCCCTAGTCGGGAGGACGTTTCCCAATGCTCAACTGATTCCAGTTCAAGCCTCTTGTGAGCAACCAGGACTACCTCAAACGCACTCCACCGTACGGACCAGCAACGCAGCCATGAATGGCCACTCTAGTATTTATGTCTTATTCAGCCGAACTTCTCGACTATTCAGCCTTAGCTGTCATGCCATCGTGTCTGGTCCGCAGACTTTCAGATCCAAGGCGCAACGGAAATGTCCACTTCAGTCCGGCAATGAAAACAGGTCGATGTACACCACCACCATGAGATTTAATATGTTGTGCCTTTGGCAGGGTCATATACAGTGCGTGACCTATCTCATGAAATGTTGACTGAAATTCTGATATGCGTTTTCGATTAGGAAGGATTACTTGGTCGCGGTTGTTAGACTGACTATCTTTTGGCATACTCTTATAACATTTCTGACTCGGCAGGATGTCAGGTTTTAAATGCACTTATTTTCAATCTCCTGTAAAAAGCGTGCTCGGTAAAAAAAATGACTACTTAATTAGCATGCATTTTTCCCATTAATTTTCGATGGTCTTGGAAATTCAAATATATTTTATAGAAACCACAAACAAAAATATGCTTTCTTTTAGTCAATCAATAGAAAATTACATCTTTATATTTTATACTTAAGGAAGGAGTAAAATTAGGTTTTAAAAAGTTTTCTAATTGCCGAAAAATTTGGAGCCTGATCATTCGTTGCATTAGCGCTTAGTGATTTCAGTCTACAAGGTGCTTTCGTTCCGCGTAAAGAAAATCCCATATTTTTCTGTCGTTAAAGAGATATCATACAGGGTCCATAAAATTTTGCAATGGATGCGGACCATGTTTTACATTTCATGAGGAGCAGTGGTAAACGGCCAGGTACGATGCTATGTGAATGGACATATCGAGGTCTTAAAGTCTCACAATTAGAAACTTTTTTAAAACCTAATTGTACTCCTTCCTGAAGTATAAAATATAAAGAAGACGTGATTTTCTATTGATTGACTAAAAGAAAGCATATTTTTGTGTGTGGTTTCTATAAAATATATTTGAATTTGCAAGACCATCGAAAATCAATGGGGAAAATGCATGCTACTTAAGTAGTCATTTTTTTTACCGAGCACGCTTTCTACAGGAGATTGAAAAGAGGTGCATTCCAAAGCCGACATCCTGCCAAGTCTAAAATGTTATAAGAGTAGGCCTTAAGATAATCATTATCACAGCCGCGACCAAGTAATCCTTCCTAATCGAAAACGCGTTTCAGAATTTCAGTCAACATTTCATGAGATAGGTCACGCACTGTATGCCTGCAGGATTTGGTTTTTTCCCGTCGTAACATATAGATTATGAGGGCGGTTTGTTGAGTGGCTGCTAATGACATACTTATCGGTCTCTAATCATGTGAAAGAAAGTGTTATTTTTAACTTCCATGCTGTTTCTTATAAGAACAGTCAGGCATGCTGCTGCGGGAAGTCGATTTTTAGGGCTGGCGCGATCTCAGGTGCTGATACGAAATGGGAAAAGCTCAGCTACCTGCCAGACACTCGGGCGAGTAAGCTAAAAATACGCTTCCCACTCAATACAAACAATCAAGTAAGAGGTCTGACTATTTTTAAAAGTCCACTTTTCAACTAAGAGAACGAAAGAAAGTTTATAGATAGAAAGCTATCCTAGATTTTTAACGGTACACAAAACTGCGAATAACAGATGCTGATAAATGCGCAGTTGGTTGTCTGCCTAAAAACAATTAAATGGCTAGCAAATGCCGGACAGACTGCCTATCAGAATTGCGAGATGCGGATGGGCCCTTGTGGTGCCGACGAAAAGCATGCGAATATTCCGGTGCGCCAAACTTCACTAACTTTCTCCAAGTTTCTTCCGAATCTGTAGCCGGAACAATTGGTACCTTGGCATGTAAAAGGCAACAGTTCTTCACTATTGGGGTTTTCTTGCGTCCCGTTGCGTCGGTTTCTGGCAAAACGCAAATCCAAGGCGATGTGTTCAGGATTGGGTTGGCTGTTTAAAAAAAAAACACAAGATGGGGTAGGTTGAGGACTGGTACTTGTTTGGACACGCAGACAGCCTCAAAAACGAAAGCAAAAACTGAACTAAAGGGAAAACGGCATTGGGGTATGGCCGCTTATCGACTGCAAAAAATCCCATTCCAGTTCCCTCCGTTTTATTCAACAATCCTTCCCTTATGTCATTGTTCATGCTACCTTGGGCAAATGACAGAATTCTACTTTTCTAAAAGGACTGCGTTAAGTAGGGTTTATTCTGTGGCTTACAATTTCATTTGGGATCAGTTTGTGAATTCGGAGTGAACTCTTTGTGGCGAAACATCTTGGGTTTCGAAAGGAATATAAACTAAACCTGAAAAACTGGGGTGGGGAAAGAATTTGCCTGGGGAACTCTGGGTAGACCCAGCTAAACCTCTCGCGGTTGAGTCATATGGCAGCAGAAAATCGACAAAACGCGTACCTTGGATGACAATCCGCATTCTTTCTCTCGACTGACGAGTCAAACCACAGCATTAATTCGATTGGCAAAAACGTCAAAAGTGTCGGTCAATTATCTCAGCCGCAGGGAACACGCTGTAACCTTTTTAGTCCCCTCGGAAATTAATATGTAAACCTGCAGCGAATGCTTCGGAACAAAGCTTTTTAGGCTCGTTCCGGAAGTTGATAGGACCATTCAAGGTGAAACCCATTGGCTACTGAGGAATAACCGCATAATATTTACACAGCTGAGAGCAGACAGTCAGTAGGAGGCAAATGCTTACCGGATTACTTCTCTGACAGGACAGATGATAGTTAGAAGCCCAAGACCTAAAAGGCCTTGTTCCGTAGGTTTTACGCCATGATGAACCTCTAGGTAGTACCCGAACGGTCGGAACGGTAAACAATTGGGTATATGCATACTACTGACGTCATGTTAGTAGCTTGTAAATGTTATGTAACTATTTCGCAGTAGTTGATAGATCTCACCCCAGTTATTCATATCAGTTTTCGGAGTGAACCTAAAAAGCCTTATGCCGAAGGATTTACTCTCAGTTCGCGCATAATTTTTTGGGGAAGCTATAAAGGACAACATGGGAGCTGGAGTTAATATACCAGAAAGAAGACTAAGAGCCCCCGGGAGCGTGACGTTGAGCCGTACCTGTCATGTAGCAACAGAAGATCAGTGGAAAACGCGTCTCTGAGCTTCTGTCTGGTGTTGCCAGCGTGGCAAGTCATGTAGCACTTGACTCAACCAAACAGTTAAGGTAGTTGGGACCGATTAAATTAGACAGGACATCGTGACTCGTGTGAAGATGGCGCCTTATGGACCTGGTTGTGGGGCCATGGCCTTTCTGTTGTGCTTTGCAGCTCCAGTGAAGAAACCTCGACGATAGTCGCACAGCGACGATTACTAATACAAAAGGAATGTCTACCAGCAAAAGATGCTGATTCGGATGTCGCTTCCGTAGTCTCACCCGTCTTTGTCGTAAATCATCCTACAAATACTAATTTATATAGGTTTGATAACCCATAAAGAGGCATATCAAGCAAACTTTTCTATTTGTAGGTCCAAAAAGATGAAAAAATAAATTAGAATTTTGTGTACAATGGGCACTAGATCCTTTTTAATGGCAACTTACTGCTGTTAAAGAGATTGCGAACAGTTTCTTGAAACATTCCATGATTTTGGACTAAGGGTATTTAAATATTAAAGGGGTGAATCCTATTTAAATCAAGAGACGCTGCTAACGAAATCGAAGGATTTCGAAACGGTCATGTCAGTTTTTTTTGTTGCCGTTCGCCAGACTCGTGAAATGTAACCGAGTTCAGTATCGCATTGGGCCTTTTCCGACAATATTTCCCGATTGTTAACTACTCGTCAACAGACGACGGATCTTGATTTTCCAGACGACTGAGAGCTTGATCTTCGCAATCGACGAGGTCCATCGCTACCCGATGAGGTTGGAACAGTGGTGTGGTGCATGTGAAGCGATCTTTCGATGTATCTCCTTCACCCTATCCACCAAATCGCCTGCTGCATTCTGATGGTAAGACCAAGGCAAAAGGTCTGGCGTAGGCGCGGTGGTTGACAAAAAGCAAAGCTTTTCTACGTGTTTCACACGGGCTGAGTTGAAGGTTTACGTAAGTAAGAGGCTACGCGAAGGAGCACTTGACGCCCGAGCCTCGCCCATGAATAAGATTAAGATGTCTCGTTACCTGACAACCTTCCAAGCCACGAATACACGTGGCAGTGGTTTAAGATAACGTTAGGTTGTTTACTAGGAGGGTAAGCCAGGCCTTCGGTCGACTACGGGACCCCGTGCGGAATCGCCACGGCTTCCAACTGGATACCAAACTGAAGAGGTACAGGGCCGTCGTCCTGACGACACCTCTCTACGGAGCGGAGACCTGAACCGTCTACTCCAGTCATGCCAAGAAGCTCAACCTCTTCCATTTCAACTGCCTTCGCAGAGTACTAAAGATGAGGTAATAAGACAGGATTCCGGACAGGGAAGTTCTAGTACGGAAGGAACTCCTCAGCATTCATCATATGCTGAGACACCTGCGTCTGCAATGGAGCGGCCATTTCGTGACGTTTGCCAAAATAACTCTTCTATGGTGATGTCGCCACTGATGCTCGCCGATCGGGAGAACCAAAACGGCGCTACAAGGGCACATTTAAGAATTCTCTTACTCGAGTATATATCGTTCCAGAGACCCGTGAGGACCTCGCCCAGAACAGACTGGCCTGAAGAAGAGGAGTGAAGACTGGTACTGCCATATACAAAGCAAATCGGATCGCCGCCACCAAAGCCAAACGGGAGGCTCGAAAATCGTAAGTGCCTCGCCTCCTCAATGCTAATCATCCGCCGCTTCCAACATGCCCGTGCTGCCAACTCATATTCGGTCTCATTGGACACCTTCGGACTCAATACGCCATCAACCCGACAACCTCTACATCTCCACCCACTCTCGTTCCTACCGCAAAACCCGCACCGCCGATCACAATGTCGCTGCCCCGCCGACACCATCCGCCCTGCCCCAACCTCTGCATCGACCGCAGCGGCCAGCATCACCACTACCACCACGCCTTCACGCACTCTCCCCACCCATGGGACGACGTCTGATGTCCCATTACCTTCTACCATCGCCACCAAAACTCCCATCTCCAACGATGCGGACTCGGTTCATACCTGTCCCCATTGCGATCGTACATTCACCTCACACATCGGCCCGGTCGATCACTTGCAGATCCACCGAGCAGAGACTGGTGAATCAGTGCTTGGAGCGCCATTTTGCACTCACTGAATCCACCTTAGCTGCCCTCGCTGTGTCCGTACATTCACTCAGCGCATGCGCTTATTAGGTCACATACGCGTTCACGAAAATCTGCCGCAGACAACCGCCGTCCTCATCGCACAGCCCCACCAGCACGCGCATCAAACAACAAAAGCATCACTACGAGCACTCGATTGTCACATTCCACGCAAGTTGGAAGTGTGCTTCTCGTCTCCATCTCCATGCACCCGCCCCCTGATTTATGTGTGACCCCAGTCTGAGACTACCATGGTGTGCCATGGCCGTGGCTCGGAAGGCTGCCAACTGACGGTCCAACCCAGTCCACGCAGTCTCCCAGTTGTCTACTCTCGCTATAAACTAATCCACACGCAAGTTACCGCGCCTGCTTCATATTGCTGTGGAGCACACGGTGGACATCGTCGGATGCGACGTTCAAACCATCAAGACAGGGGGAATAGAACCCCACGAACTGCGATATATTCATAAATCGTGTCTACTTATTTGATTTCCGTAGCTTGATGTACGTTAGTAGTAACGTTTGGATTTTTCCTCTAAAACATGAGTGCTTGGTTCTAGCTGAATCAATCTCACCATGAAGCCATTTTTCCGTGACTTGGCTGAGCTAAAACAACGGAGGGTTGAATTCAGTGGCATACGTGACAAGAAGGTCGTCTAAAGCATGTCACGTACAGCAGGTGACCTAATTCCTGAAATATTCACAAGAATTGTAAAATATGATCGGCTGAAAAAGGATTACTTAGGTGACAATTCAACACCGGCTAGCATACAGCGTAAGTCCAAGGTATTTCACACATACCAGGGCGCTGCCTTTTCGGTTATATGCGGAACTCACACTCGCCAAAAATGACAGTTTGATATGAATATATCCACCCCCCCCCCTCCCCCCAGCACTTTGTCGCTGGAACGGTGGTAAAAGGGGTTTTATGGATATGGACTCTTAAAAGAACGGGCCGTGGGTGGAAGTTATGCGACAAGTCATAAAATCCCATTTACGCCATCTACTTGGTTTGATGTACCAGGTAACTCTGAATCCAACCCCGCGCAGCACGAGAAGTAGTCAATAGGGAATTGCGCGATCGCGTAAAGAAAATGCTGCTCTACCATTTTTGAGAAGAGGCCTGATAACTGACCCAGAAACAGGATAGCCACTGAACTTTTGGTAGGGCGGTTAAAATCCATCCGTCAAACACCTTTTTTACCATCATTCCCTTTTTAGAGGTGGTCCTGCGTCAATATGCTGGCAAAAAGACTTCCTTTTCATAGCAAATTATCTTTCTAAAAGCTATACTGGGTGAAAGGATGTTTTTCGAAGGTAAAAGTGTAATTCCTACCCGTCTCACATTTGCTTTTGGAGTTTTAAAAGTACACACTATACATCTTTCATTTCAAAGAAATCACCCATTCCTACGCTATCGGGAAGGCATCATCTAACACGCATGAAATGTTACGATATGGATATCGTTGAATATTCAACCAGCAGCAGTAGTAACCGAGAGGATATAATGCTCGTTGGATAAACGCTTCAGAGTCTGAAAACCATCCGTAAACTTTTTAAACCGAAGGGTCTCATTTCATCTAGTATAAAATTAGAAGTAGACATAGCGTTCTGCAAAATGAACAAATATGCCCAGATTTGTAAACGCCTCCAAAATACAGTAGGTGGGCTAACTCATGAAATGTCAACCGAAATTCCGAAATGCGTTCTCGTTTCGAAAAGAGTAATTAAGTAGGATTGTAAAACTAGTCAGCCTGCAGCATAACTCTATAATAATTCAGTTACCTCAGGATACCGGCCTTTAAACGAACTTCCTTTCGGCTGCATGCAAAAACGATACTCTGTAAGAAATGATTACTTAAGTGGCATACATTTTTCTCTTTGATTTTCGATTCCCCTAAAAGTCCAATTATATTTCATAGAAAACATGCATAAAAATACGCATTCTTTCGCTCATTCGGTAGAAACTTACGTCTTCTTTCAATTTTATACTCGAAGGAGGGACATCATTCGGTTTTTAAAAAGTTTCTAGTTGTGAGAATTTTACTACCGTGAAATAACCGTTCATAAAACGTCATGTCTCTGCATTTACCAATGTGGCTTGTAAAGATAACAGTATGGATCAAATCCAATGCTAAATTTTATGAACCCCATATGGTCTCCTCTTAAAACCGTAGAGAAATGTGCGGTTTTCCGTACGCGGAAAATACATGGTTTGTAGTTTAGAAACCCTGAATGCAGGTGTAACAGCAGGTCACGTTCAAAATTATTCTGGAATTATAACAGTTTCTGAAAACCTCATAATACCCTTCCGTCGAGTATAAAATTGGAAGAAGACGTAATTTTCTACCGAGTGAGCGAAAGAATGCATATTTTATGCATGTTTTCCATGAAATATAATTGGACTTTTAAGGGCATCGCAAATAAATGAGAAAAATGCATGCTACATAAGTAGTCAACTTTTACAGAGTGTAGTTTTTGCATGCAGCCGAAAGGAAGTTCTTTCGACAGCCGGCATCCTGAGGTAACTAAATTATTATGGAGTTATACTGCAGACTGACTAATTTTACAACCCTACTTAATTAATCTTTCCGAACCGAAAATCCATTTCGGAATTCCAGTTGACATTTCATGAGTTAGTCCACCTACTGTATATGAAAAATAGCCACCACTAAAGTGGCCACTTTTTAATATGATTTCCGCAGGTGACCGCGGTGGAAAGGCCAGCAGTCTGGCGTGCATGAAAAACCTTGGATTTATGTCACATGTCAGCCGGTGTCGCATTTCCGTCTAAGTAATCCTTCCCAATCCAGGCCGAGCTTTACAAATTCAGTTAGTGATCCACGCGGACTAGTTTACCCACCGCTCAGTGTCATCTGAATAACAAACAGTTCAGTTAGGAGGATGAGTCAAAAGCCAGCGTTCGAGGGTTATGTCGGAAGCCTGACACCGAAAATACTTTCAGGTATTGGTGGACAGCCATAGAAATGGATTAAAAACGCGTAATTCCTTAAATTGCCATTTGAATTATTTCCGCAATTTTGGAACATAAATGTGAAAAATCACTTTGACTTACAACAGAGGGAATGGGGAAAAGAAATCCGCATAGGTTTCCAAGGAGTAACTATGGAAACAGGGCATTTATAATCCTCTCCCTCCCCCCAAAAAATTAGTAGTCAGAAAACTAATTTAAGAATCAGTGAGGAAGTTAGGCTGCAGTGTGCATGTGATGAACTAAATAGCTGAGAATGAAGATTTTTTGAAAAGGAGCGCAAAATATACGACAGACCATGTATTCCTCAAGACTGGACAGGTCCCACTGACCCTAAACCTTGACTTGGCGGTGTGCCTAACCCAATGAAATATTGCGCGACTAATTAGGCAGTTACTTCATGATCCTAACAGCCTTCTTTTAAATCAATATCGTACACCTAATGGAGTTGGGAATTGGTATTTTGCTTTGCTTCGTGGGGATGATGATGATGGTGGTGGTGGTGGTGGTGGTGGAGGAGGAGGAGGAGGAGGAGGAGGAGGAGGTACCCCTTGCTTATCTCGGTTACTGTACTTTTAATTAAAACTAGCAATTTGTCTGAAAAAGCAGTCCACCCAATAAGCGTGAAATTACCCTCTTCTGTATCTCAGAGCACTGTAAAGGATCTGTCTCACAGGGCGAGTTGAGGATTCGTTCTTGTAGTGGAACCGGAAAAAGGTAATCACTTTGGAGTTTGTCAGATTTTGATGGAAGTCGTGCCCATCTCCTGGATGGTACTTATCATCACATTTCTCCTCCTTGATACTACCATCGTCGGAACTATTCTTCCAACAAGTTGGCATGGTCGTTCTCGTCCCGTTTCTGTATTTCAATACCGTTGAAACTGCCAACTGGTGTTCCATCTGATCCACAACAATCACTGGAGAAAATCCCTCCAACTGGTTACGGATCACACTGCTAACGCTGGTAAGGCGAACCCATTCGTTAGTCGTCGTACTGTTTATGGCTTCTACCTCCTCTGCGGGCATGAATATGTCAACGTCGCTCAGATAGTCTGTCCATAATTGGCTGTCCCGATTGCCGTTGAGGTTGTGTCCCTGATAACAGGCGGCTGCCAGTGCCAAGACATAGATACAAAAGTTGAGACAAACACAGCCGAAGAGAAGCCCGCGCACACTCCTCCAGGCTATTCGGCCTGATCTACCCTCGACGGCTTCAAGGGAACGCGCAATGAGCTGCTCCTTTTGCTTGAGTGGTGTGTGCTCCATAGAGCTCCTACTGCGTCCGGTAGCAGCGCCGGACCAAGGACCGCCGCCAGTTTCCTCATTTGGAACCCCCAAGCTCAACAATCTCAGCAATACGATTAGGAGAAGGAGGTGCAGGACACACTGAAGAATGTAGAGCCCCGCCTTGACTGAGAAGGCCGTTGAGGAGGGAAAGTCATCACATCCATGCACACTAAACTGGAGGAAGAGGAGGGGCACGCTGCACAGAAGCATATAGAGGAGGCAAGTGCAGTCAAAGGCAAGCAGGCCTAGGGAAAACCGTCGAAGTGTGTAGAGGGCACAGACGCATTGCAGGCCGAGGAATGCGCTCTGCATGATGCTCATAACCAATATTGCGGAGAGGGTTGTCTTGGACACTGCTCCATAGACGAGGCCGTCTGTGATTTGTAGAAAGTCTAGGTAGATTTTCAGGTTAAGGCCCAACTCCACGATTCCAGTGACGAGGACACTGGCGAGATAAAGGATCCAGAAGCTCCTCTTATTTGCTACGGTGTTAACTTTCCGGTCTAACCAGCGTTGGTCGGTCATTTTTGTTGGGATTTCGTGTGTGGTAGTGGACGTATTCTATCTGACTATTGTGCACGCGCGTATGCGCGCGACTAGTCTTCAGTGAAGCCGCTTTTGTCAAATAAACAAGAGGTTGGTGCACAGGTCTGCCAGCCATGACTAGTGTTCTTGCGCTTCGATGAACTGTGTTCATCCCGGAAAATCGATTTTCTCTGCCATGGTACAATAACGACTGGGTGCATGACGAAATCTCTCGCCTCTGCTCCGGACAGCAAATGTCGATAGTGTGATAAGGCCTCATAGAAGGACTACTACCACCTACTGCTTGACTGGTGTAGAAACTCGAAAAGAGTGTGTGTTAAACGGAGGTTTTAAAGTGCTCGGTACACATGCATAACGGGGTGTTTAGCCAATTTGCCAAATTTTTGCTTTCGAACCCCCCCCCCGCAAACCATGCGTGCTCAGTTTCCATGTAGCGCGATAACCCCTTACTGCTGGCGAAACTCGTTACTTTAGGTGCCGCCCGTAGATGAAGAACGAATCAGCCGATTGTTTTGTACCCATGGTCAGACTGCAGAAAACTGAAATACAACCACAACCTTTTCCTGTAATCAAAAGAATAAAAAGTTGACTGGAGTGATTAATATAGGTCTGCAGTATGCTCTGTGTTCAGCCGGAGTGCGTTCGGGTTGGCAATCACTTGAACTGGATGTTTCAGGCCTCAGGGGGGAATGGATGTAAATAAGGGCGTAATTTAAAGTGTTACGGATCAAAGATCACCGAGCTGTTCTGACTGAAGGGTGAACTACGAGGGAATCCGTTGACGACTTTGCTGCGGAAGGTCTTACGGTGACGAATAAAAATAGTCCATAAATGCCAGTGATTGAGAGAAGGCAAACTGAAACAATCATTTCTGGTTTGTGTGCCGTTGTCAACCAGAGATTTCCTACGACGACGACGAAAGTTAGACCATAAACGCTCATTCCAGTCTTTCTTCTCTGTTTCAATGGCATTGCACGCCAAATTTTGGTCGAGGCGCAATGTTGACCAGAATGCTGTGAACCCCAGAGAACACTCAGATGACCTGAAAAATTAGATCCTCCATCATCCTTCCTAAATGAACGATTGTGAAGTATATTTAACCGTTATACTGTATACCTGCTTAAGGCATGTCTTATTCTTTTTAAAAAAAAACAGAAGTACTGATATGAAAACCGCAGCAAAACTAATCTTCGAATATAGATAAAATCCGATAAATTTGCGTTAAAGGATAGAATCGGTAGCCTGTTTAAGAAAGCTCGTTTTAAATTCGGCAGAGGGTAGCCATTTCTGCCCAGTTTACGTTGGTTCCGTGAAATTCGGCGCACAAAAACTCGGTGTTAAGCGGCCCCAAGTTTCTGCTTGAACAGCACCCACAGACGATTGCGGTGCAAATTGGTGGCTGTCAGACCAGTCGAGACCAAACCATACCGAATCACGCAAAAATTACCTCATCTACATCCACACTCCCGCAAGGTCGCCCTGGCGCACACACACCCCATACACACACAAACTTCGCCTCGATTACTCACCAGGTAAGGGCCTTTAGCGGCACCATCAGTCAAAGACCGAGTTGACAGCATCACGGAGGCGCCGCTACCTGTGTGTATGTACATGCCCTAGCGGCTGAAGCCGTGCACATTTGGGCTACACAAGTAGGTCCAGGCCACCAGTAACCGCACTCCAGCACCGATCAATTTGACTAATCAAATCCGCCCACACTGTTCGCGTATGCCTACGCGCACACACGAACAAGTGTCTGATCTGACAAGAAAAAAATCCGTTTTTGGACCACCACCACCGTTTGTGCGAGTAAAAATCTCGAAGAAGAACTCGAACTTTAGACACCTCTCTCTCTCTCTCAACCTGGGCCCGAATACGATAAAGCTAAGCCGCACTTCGGTGCACTGGGATGGTAGACTGGAAGCGTGTGCGCGCACCGTCATGGCTGCGGCTGTGGACGTGTGTGTGCGTGTGTGCAGGGGGGTGAATGGGAGAAAGCAGGGAAAGGGAGGACGGTGTGTGGGAATGAGAGAGAGAGAGAGGGGGTGGCGGGAGTGCGCGGGAAAAGAAAGGGAGGATGTTGGGGCAGGGAAACAGTGGGTATGGAAGGACAGCGTAGCACTTGAGCGGTAAAGGGGGTTGGGGAGTTCACACGTCTACACGTCTGCATGGACACCTCCCGGTTTTTGATTTTGTTCGTACGCCTTTCGGTGAAGCAAATAAGCTAAACGTGGTTTTCATTAGCCCTTCGAACGCTTTCCTGTCCCCGTGACGGTGCGCGTTTTCGGTCGATGTGCGTTCTGAATGTCAGCCAGAAGGCGAGCCGGGACGGCCAATGCGAACGGTTTCTGTCTCCCTTTCCAATGCATGACAATACCGCCTAAATTTGCCGCTTTCGGCTGTCCAAATTGGTCCTCAGAATGAGGTGGCTGGGACATCAGCTTAGGTCAGAGTAGAATTTTTTACAAGCAGGCTAGTGGCTTGATGGCATACGTGACTTAGGCACCAGGCAAAATGCGCCATATAATGAGAGTAGAGCATAAGAATCTCCAGTCTCTGAAGATGGGCAGCCGAAGTCATTACTCGCAACGTCAGAACCCAATAAACGTCTTCAGGCGAACGCCTC